GTTGTGATTCATTGTTCAAGGCCCTTAAATGATCCTATGTACACTCATTCACTAGAAATTACATCATGTGGCTAATGACTAGTATCCGACTCCCACTAGATATGTACTATAATTTTTCGGGTGTTATAGAGGCGAACAGTGTGATAACTGATATGAAGAATGGATAACGGTGGAGTGACAAAGAGTGGCAAGGGGGAGTGATACCATTGTTTGTGAGGGGTTTGAAAGGCACATGGTTTGGAAACGGTAAAATTGATTTAAGTTTTTGTTTTAATTTAAGAATTTTCTAGTCGGTTACAAAAATTATTTTTTGTTAAAATAATATAAGTAACCAATTTTTAAAAGTTCGATAATTTATTTATTACAAAAAAAATATTCAAAACGAGAAAATTCAATGGTTTTTTCATTAAAAAAAAATAGTTCAATGACTTAATCATTCAAAATGAGAAAGTGTAATAATTAATTTTTTTTGAATCTGTTTGTCTTTTTTATTGTAGACATTTATCTTAGAAATATTTTCGTTTTTTTACCATTATCATTTTCATGATAAATTAATCCATTTTATTAAATATCTAAGAAAATATTATATATTAATAAAAGATTGTGAAAGACTTATTTCGTAACTTTATTAAAGGAGAAGAGTTAAAAACCTAAAAAAATACCACTTTAAATAATAATTTCTATAAGATCCAGAAACAAATCACAATAAAACATAAATATGAGTAAAAAGAATAACGCACAAGACAAGATAATATGCAACTGAATATAACCACCACGATGATCAGGGGTTACCGAGAGCACTCACTTGGACTACAACACTGATCTTTATTAACCATTTCTAGAAAGAAGTGGAATATCGAAAGTTAAATCAGTCTGTGCATGGGACCGATCAGATCAGTCGACATTATAACAATAGCCCCAAATCGAAAATACGTTATACATCTGATGATAATGAAATCCAATTCTTTTTCATGGATTTGATTATTTGTTACTCTTGGTTGTATAATATTCATGAACACGAATAAGAACAGTTACAAAATTTTGTCTTTTTGTGTTTGTATTTGCGATAACGGTTGGTGGTGGTGATAGGTGGTGGATTGGGTGCTCTAATTTAGTTTTTATTTTTTAGAGGATAAAAGAAAGAGTTAAAATGACATAATTGTCCCTCACGGTTAAGAGACCAAGATTTGGCAATATAAAAATATACAAATTAGTCTGTCATATGAAACACGAAATAATAAAGACCACTGACAACGACGGACTCAAGACTTTTACCTAATGGGTGCACTTTAATGTGAATTACAGGCCCACAAAAACCGTCTAATATGTTTTTAACTGCATTCCATCGTTTTGAGGGAGCTTTTTAAGTTTTTTTTTGTTAATTTCAAAAGACTTTTTCAGTTGATTTCAAAAAACTTTTTCGATTTTTTGATTGATGTTCTTTGTATTTTCTCATATTCTAAAGTATCTTTCATACTTAAAAAACGTCTACTTGCAAAAATAAATTAAGCACGTGTACAAAAAAATGTTCAATATCTTTCAGTTTTTGGGTAGAGATAAAAATGAATTCTTGAATTCCTCCCATGTACTCACGTGTACAAAAAAAAAAAAACCATACTAAAAAGATGAAGGCTTGAATTCCTCATTGTATTCATGTATGCATAAACCCCATAAAACACATAATTTCAAAGATGAACAACTGAATCCAATTTCAACATCGTAGAAAATGAAGACGTTGAACATGTTTTGTGCATATAACCATGAACATCTAATTTCAACACCCCCTTCTTTGGCACCATCGCCTCTACTTATTCTCCGACCTCCATCCTAACTAATGCCACCACTTTCGCATCTTCCCCTTCACTTGATCCCTCTATGCCATTGAAATTTAGGGTTCATTTCCATTTGAGAGAAAGAAATCAAGAGATATATAGAAAGAATAAAACAACAGCCATGGCGTAGAGGAAGAAACACATCCATAAAAGAGAGAAAGAAATCGAGATTGAGTGGGAGAGAAGAAGTTACCATAACAAAGGTATCAATAGAAATAATTTAAGGATTTAAATTAAAGAAAAGATAATTATAATTTTATTCTAATTACGTTCTCTAATTAACGTTGAGATTTCCATAACTGTTATCTCTTTTAAATTATTTTCAATTATGCCATTTAAATCTTAATCCGTAATTTTTTTAATCTAAAAGATAGAAAAATGTTTTCCGATTTTTATTTTTTTTAAGGTTTTTTTCTTGAACCCCTCCCTCTGTAAATATTATAAATAATACAAAAATTATAGGTTAATGACGTCTCCTATCTTTGAAAAAAAGCTGACGCGTTCTTGTTTTTGTCGTCTTCTAAGGAGAAGTCAATATGGGATTCGATGGTGGTGAGGATTATTATTCGAAATACAATAATAATAATAATAATAATAATAATAAACCAATTAATAAAAGACAAAGAAAATGTGGTTAAAAAAAGGGTATAAAATATGAATAAATTTGAATGACGTGTTGCAGGTAAATTTGATTTTGGTGGGGTCACTTCAAATACAAGCCACCAAACTTCTATAAAATCATATCAATACCTTTACCAGCTATAAGTATTGGACCCTATTTATTCATAATATAATCACCATTCTTTTTCTTTATTTTTTTAAATAATAATTAATAATATTTGAATTTAATATTGAAATGTAAGCATACTTATCTTATCTTAACGGGCGATGTTAATGTATTCAATAAACAATTATATAATTATATCACGAATTTTGATTTTAATGTATTTTTAATTAGTTTAGATTCCACAAGTTTATTTTCTCCATTTTATTTCACGTCTCGTTTGTGAAATAAACTAGTTGTATATTCATGCAATGCGGTGGGAGCCGTGAGTTTTAACGATTTTGAAGTTTCACTGATTTTATTAGAGAAGATTTAACGATGATATAAGTGACACTTGATATTTACATATTAATACAATTTGAATAAATAAGAGTTATGGTTCTAATTACAGTCTATCGATGAAAAAAATTGTATGACAGTTTAAAATCCAATATATTTTAAACGACTCCACAAATGTGTTCGATTTACACCAAGAGCAAAGAATCAAGAGATCGAGAGCGAGAACGAGAGTTCTAGAGCAATTGAATGAGAGAACTTTTAATAACTCATGGTGGATATCAATTTGAATATCACCTTGGAGGATGGAGAGAAGACAAAGAGGTATGAGATGGTGAAAACATGAGTGAATTGCGTCAAAAGTATCTTAGAAACATGAAAAGAAAAGATAATAATATGCATTGGTAACTTGTATTATATGTTATTTTAATTGTAGATTATAATATTTTATGACTGAATACATAAAGTAGTAGTACTTAATGCATTATGAGTTGTTTTTAAGACTTTTAAAACTTTATGCATAAATGTATAGTACTTTGAGCATTAAAAATTGTTTTTAAAACTTTTGATAAATCTACTTTACAAGGTAGTGTAGATATTAATTATCTTTATTAAAAATTACACATTTTCTTTGTTATTTCTCTATTATCATCGTTATAAATTATTAGCAATGGCGAAACATAAATGGACTGCATCAGCAATAGTGGAGGGGCCCAAAAGAATTTTATATTTAAAACCTTAATGAAATTTAATAGACTGTAAATGTTTCACTTTATTGGAAAAAAAAAAAGAAGCTTAGGGGCCAAGGCCCCTATGGCGATATGCCCTTGATTATTAGGACATAATGATTTACAATCATAAAAACATCTCTAAAAAGTGTTCAATAGGAAAAGACCGAAAGGAATGGGATTCGAACTCATGCATGTAGGAGACGACGACGTCAAGTTAACGGCAAAGAAAGAATGCGCATTCAGGCGAGCCGTCTGGAAAGCAAGGATGTAAGGCGGAGCGAATCCGGAAAGATTGCTCATCCATATTATTTTTGAAATTTTAGAGATTTAAGAAAAAAATTGTTCCAAAAGATATGTTAAACTCTTCTATAAAATAAAAAATAAATAGAGAAATATGTAAATCTAAAAAAGTAGATAGTAACTATAGAATACTTGTTGAAGTTGTTTTAAGTTTTCTTCTTATTTTTTTACACCGAAAGAAATTTTTAATAAATTACATGCGGGTAAATATAAAAATAAGTTTCAGGGTTTGAAAAAAGAAAAGAAAGAATCTAAGCAGTGTTTGGTTTGATCAAATAGTTTTGAGGGATTTAGATTTTCTGGTAAGATTTGGATTTAGAAGGATTTCGCATCTTTGGTGTGTTTGATTTATAAGATTTGGAATGTAATGACATTTCATTCCTTATAAATAATTTATAAAAATAAATTATAAATGATTATAAAATAATTAACTTAACTTTTTTAATTTAAGAAACTTTTTGTTAATTGATTATTATAAAATAAATGTTTTTGATATATTTTAAAATACTATTTCATATAAATCTTATGACATCCCATGAAATAACAACCATGTGGGATTTTAAAATTATATGTTTTTGAGATTTCAAATCCAGGAAATCATTCAAAACAAACATCAGATTGAAATGAAATTCAATTACAAATCTCTTAGAATCCAATTCAATTCTACAAACAAAACAAGACCTAAGATTGTCATTAATCCGCTGTCAAATTGACTCAAATTATTTAAGAACAAGGAAACCATCAGAATGACAACAAATGAAAATTTGGGTTTATAGGAAATGTACCCATTATATTATATAAAATCAAATAATTTTTTTTAAATATTCAGTTCTATTGATAACTGTTTAATACTTCTGGCTAAACAGAAATAAACATGATACACGGGACCTAAGAATATAAAAAAAAAGTAAAATAAAATAATGTACAATAGATTGCCTTCCCTCTATGTGATTGGGTCACTACTCGAGTTGCTGCTAACACCCTTTGAGTAGCTTCACCATTTCCTCAAGGGTTACTCTCTCTCCTTCACAAATTCAAACTCCTTTAAATGCTCTTGTCTGCAACAAAAATCTCTTCAATATATCTGTATCTGTATCTATATCTATATCTATAGATCTGTATATCGAAGAAAGATCTAGCTAGCCATGGAGACCAACAAGATGATCATGGTGCTTACTGAACTAGTACCATGCATGTTAATGGTGTTAATGGAGGTTTCCACCATCGGCTTGACCATCTTGGCTAGCACCATCTTGTCAAAAGGGCTTAGCCCATTCGTCTTCGTCGTCTATACCAATGCCCTATCTTCCATCTTCCTCCTACCTTTCAACTCCTTCATCATCCGCAGAAACAAGTTCGTTTCTTCCCCTAATTCAAATATATACACACACATATCTATATACATATATATATATATATATATATGATTGTATGTATGTATATGTATATATTAATATATGCTCAGTTCGATTGTAAATATATCTATACACATACATATATGTATGTATGTATGTATGTATATGTATATATGACTCAGTTGGATTGTTGATGATCAGTTCATCACTTGTGAATATATCTGAATTATTCTCGATCGAAAATTGCATGCATGAAAATTATCTTGTTATATATACAGTGATAATTATATATTTAATTTGGTTAATTATTTTGCAGGAGAGACGATCTTATCACGCAGTTTCTTCTCCTTGGTTTCGTAGGGTTTGTATTCTCTCTCTCTCTTTTTTATCTCGTACAAATAATAGACAGTAAAAAAAATACCAGATTTTTTTAGTCTGAATAATCGTTGTTACAAGTGTAACAACAGGTTCTGATATAAACGAAATGAAGCAGTTGAAGTTGGTCACTATGAACGACCAAATAACGTGAAATTAATAACCTAACATGTTATGGGCATTAATTGATTAGAGTTTGATTTCTAAAGATATATTTCTTGGATATGAACAAATAATAATTCGACTTTTTTTGTTGTTGCAGGGTGACAATGGCACAAAATCTAGCGTATGTTGGATTGAGTTATAGTTCTCCGATCGTTGCTTGTGGCATGGGCAATATAATACCCTCTATTTCATTTATTCTTGCTGCTATTTGTAGGTTCGTTTTATTTTCTCACACGAACATGTTTTCGTTATTAATATATTTGATTTTTTTTATCAATTGATGTAGGTTAATTATATACAAATTTAATAGATATTTTGAATAACATCAACAATGAAAACATACATATACGTTGTATTGAAATAGATCTACATTTTTAAATCAAAACCTTACAAAGTATCAAGTAAAATAAAAAGTCATAAACTATTACCATAAACTTTGATTCATTTTAAACACAAAATTGGATGGTTATTGCATATAAATGTTTATTTCATTAATTTTGTACAAAATAAATAATAAGGGTGTAAAATTTTACTTTAGATCGATACGAAAAATTGATATAATTTATTGTTAAAAAAATATGAGAATCACGAAGTATTCTGCTATATTAATATAATTCAATGTTTGATTATCTTGTATTTGATTATGTTTATCAACTAGTTTAATCTAGTTTAAACGTGAAAAGTTACATTTATGAGTTAATAAGTTGTAAACTTGAATTTGAAGAAGTTATACATTAATAAACCATATGTAATATTTAATGAATTGTTTTTAAGAATATTTATCAAAAACCTTATTGTACTTATAATATTACTGCAATCTAGTTTTTTTCGTTCATATGAATAAATTTTTATCAGTTACATATTTATATTTTCATTAGAATATTAATTAAAAAAATTCGTATAATTTTAATCACTTTCACTTTTAGAAAACAAAGTATTAGTGACGGATAAATCAAAAATCAGTTCCTTCACGGATCAACGATGGATTAACGAGGGAACTGGTTTTTGATTAATCCGTTACTTATAACAAAGGTAACTCATTTTTGTGGTGTCTAGCTAACATAGACCTTAATTCAAGTTAATTTCTTAGATAAATAACGACTTAACAAAAAATTTAATTTATAAATCATTATTATAAGATATCAGAAATAAAAATTATAATTAAATGATTTAATAGTGGGTGATGATAACTCATAAGTCAAACTTTATTTATTCAATTAATTTAATTTTGAAAAAAAAAACCCCAAAAAACTAATGGCTCCCAAGGCACCATGGAAAGACAATCCTACGTATGTTTTGTCTGGCGTACCCTGTGGCCGTGAATTAAAGGGTCAAGAAAAAACAAAAATAAAAAACAAAAAACTATAATTATTATTACGAAATAAATATTTAAAGTGTAATAATTTATGTTCTAAAAAACACAAATTTTAATTGTTTTTGGTTTTTGATTAATATCTATTTGTTATTATTTATAGAAGGACAGAAGTGGATTTGAGAAGTTCAAGTACGCGAACAAAATTAATGGGTACATTGATATCGATCATTGGAGCTGTGTCGCTCGTTTTATATAGGGGTCCAGTGATCAAAGACTCTTCGACTCATCTACGGTTGGCTCCTCGACTGTTTGTTTTCTTAGCTACAAAGGAACATTGGGTTGTTGGTTGCGTTCTTTTCGCATGTGCTTCGTTGGCTTTCTCGATATGGAACATCATTCAGGTTCTTATCGACACCTTCCAACACTTCAATTCGCAAAACCGTCTCCATCATTTACTTTTTAGACTATGTTTGACAAACTAGCGGTTAACTGATAAACTAGTCAAGTAGTAATTTTTGGTAAAAATAAATAGCTTATAGTCATCAAACATGACAAAAAATCAGTGATGGATCTTGCAACAGAGCCGCCATCATCACCACATCCTTAAAATGGAATATTTGATATTTTTTCTTTATTTTTAATTTTGGACAGGTCGGAACTATTGAAAAATGTCCAGAAGTAATGACAGTGGCGTCTAGTTACACCTTATTTGGAACAGTTCAATCGACTTTGGTGGCTATAATCGTAGAAAATGACCCTCTTGCTTGGAGGCTGCAATTTGACATGGGACTCCTTGTCATTGTCTTGACGGTAAGCAAATACCCATCTAGATACATGATTAAAATGGTCATTTTCAAGATAAAGGTACAACTATTAAAAAAATAATATACAAATTACTACAAATATGTTTTAGAACCCAAAACACGTCATTTGATAACGAATAAATCCCACACGGCATTTGACGATCATAAATTTTTCCAAAATAGGCAATATTTGGAAGTCTTATCCGAACGCATGTGCACATGTGGTGCATACGAAGAAAAGGCCAGTTTTACGTGACCATGTTCAAGCCTCTCGGGGTTCCGATTGCTAGTACGTTTGGCTGCATTTTCTTTGCCGAAACTTTTCACTACGGAAGGTAATCCCGCACGTTACATCTTTAGGTTCCTTTTTAATATACAATATTTAGAGTGAAATTTCATTTTTGGTCCTTATGGTCGTCCACCATTATCAAATTTGACCCCTCTTTAAAACTAATTATAGTTTTAGTAAAATGATCAAAATACCTTTAAATTAACTAACCTTTTAACTAGAGTTAGTCAGAGCGACCAAACGTGAAACAAAACAGCAACCACATTTACCAAAAATGTAATTAATTTTAAATAGGGACCAAAGTTGATAATAAGTGGCTACCACATACACCAAAAATGTAATTTACTTCAATATTTATGTACAACAAAATTTACACACGTTTTGTCACCTGTGGCGAGTCTCGAAGGCTTGAACCCTGACCTCCATAGAGGATGGGATCTACCAATAGCCTAGATAGGCAGATATCAATGAGCAAGTGACCGCTTGGTTGCATCTTAAGTTCTTGTTGGTCGTTATTTTTTTACTTACTTATTCTTGAGACACGAATGCAGTATGATGAGTGCGGCGGTGACAGGAATCGGATATTATACAATGATGTGGGGTCAAATGAGAGAAGATGAAAGTAGAAGGGGCAAAGTGGATTTATTGGAAGAGAAAGCCCCTCTTTTGCAAGAAGAGGACCAAGTTTGATATTATAGAGTGTAATAATGGGGAGGGTGTGTTTTAGAGACCCTATGAGAGAATGTGTGCACAGTAAATACTCCATGTACATTACTATCATTTTCCTAATACATTTTTTGATTTTGATTTCTGAGTTTCAATTCAGTTTTGATTTGGTTTCTACTGGTATTTGTTGTAATCGGTATGCAAACATTGAGGATAATTGTTGTTGTTCTCGTTTCTGGTGCATCAATGGCGGATCAAAATCATGATAACCGTTTGGTGAATCATAAGTTTATGACGAAATTGGAAATGGATTCGAATTTTTTTGTTTCCTAAGCTGTGTTATTGATTTAGATCGGGAAGTTGCTCGTTTGATTACGAGTGGTCATTACATTTGATTTTGATCTGAAGTTGTTTATTTGATTGCGAGTGATCATTAGTTTATAGAAGTTGTTGCAGTTTCTAGCAATTTGACTCGGTAGAAAGCGTAAGGTTTATGTCTCGGTTCAGAGCTCGGCATCAATGGAGGTACGACATATCGGTACTAGGCATCAGAAGAAGTTAATCATCGGAGTTCATTCAACTAAGGTACGATCAAGTACGTGCTTACGATTATTGTTCGATTGTTCAATGTACCTGATGAACAAGGTGGGATCAAATTCCAATTTAGGTTAATCATCGGAGGTCATTCAACTGAGGTACGATTAATTACATACTTACGGTCATTGTTCGATTGTTTAATCTACCTGATGAACACGGTGGAATGAAATTAAATTCCAAATTTCCTGTTGTATGATTTTTAATCATCGTATTTTGGGAGTGCATAACGACGATATTACTTCCGTCATCAAATTATCTGTTTATATATAGCGATGTTTGGTCATTCTGATACGCAACATTACGTAATGGCAACACGACAACTGAACAAACAATGAATTATTGAAACGACCTCATAGGGCAGAATAGATGAATAAACTAGTTTGTGCAAGTAGGGAAAATGAGACCCTTTTTACTTTTGATATTGAATGGATGACTTCAGCTTCTAAATTGATGAGAAGCATTTTTAAGTCTTTTAAAAAATGGATAATTAGATTAAGATGTATATATTGTGACCTGTGGTAATTAATTCATACAAATGCTTCTGTTTTTGAATTTTGAAACTTAAGAAGTATGAGAGCATCTATAACAACTATGTTATTTTAGAAATTTTGGAGATTTAATAAAAGTTTGCTCTAACAACTATGTTAACCTCTCTTCTAAATTAGAGAAAAAAAATGAGAGAAATCGGAGAAATCTCCAAATTTAAAAGAAGAGAAAGAAAATATAACATATAGATTGGATATGCTTTTGACATATCAAATGTTAAAAAAAAATCTCGTTTTTGGTATGCAAGTGTGTAGTTGTAGCAACTTCGGTGCATAGCATGCAGTTGTTGACTCGATAATTGTCAACATCTTGACTCAAGTTGGCAGGTTTGTGGTTTGACTTTCCCAACTATTACACCATGTTATCCATCATTCTGATGGAAAATGGAAGCTGAAAAGGAAGTTTCTTGATTTATCTGCTATATTTTGTGAATATGAGGTAATTTGAATAACTGTGTACAACTTGAATCTTTAATCTTAGCTCAAGCCTGAGTGTGGCAGCCAAGTTGGAAGCTCATATTATTGGCAAATGTCAAACTCTTGTGCTTTTTTGATCTTATTAATTCTATCACATAGCCTGCCTCTTTCTTCTGAAGATGATAGTAACCAGCCTATTTGTCCGAGCTCATTTGAGTGTCAAAACCTTGGCTACTTACGCTTTCCGTTCTATAGTTCCGAGAATTCAGCATGTGGATTGTCCAAGGTATACTGCAATGAATCAAATCCTAAGATTCAACTTAGAGACAACTACCCATCCTATGATCTTATTCAGGTCACGTTTGGCGGTAGTGATACTGTTCTAGTTCGAGATAATGCTTTTGCAAATCAGATAAATAATCGAAGTTGTGATTCATTGATGTATAATTTTCCTTCCAACTCATCCTCTATCTCTTATATCAGCCATCCTCCCACCATCACCGTATTAAGGTGTGAAAAGAGTCCAGGAAACATAGATGAGTATTTTGAGAAGGAAGGTGAATATTACAGTTTTAAGAGATGCAATGATTATGACTATTATTACACATATTCCAATGGTTATATTACAGCCAACCCCGATGTACCGACTCGGTGCTCAGTGATTCGTCTGCCAGGTAATTCTCCATCTATGGGTCCAACAGCAAACGTTACAAATTTCAACGATCTGTTTACTCTGTTAAGACCCGATCTTAATCTTGAACTGCAAGTATCGGAAGTCTGTCAGGAGTGTTACCGGATAGGGGGGCAATGCTCGAATGACAACCGAGAGTTTCAGTGTGCATACACTAGTCGCATCATGAGGAAAGGTACGGGTTTCTTCACAATAACCATACATCTTGCAACCAAATTAACAAATACTTTTTTTGAAGTATGTAATTTATATATAGGGTAGGGGTTGGGGAGGGTAAGACACAGAGTCGCAGACCTTACCTCTACCTTCAGGAGCAGAGAGACTCTCCGTAAAGATCATGACTTGTAAAAGGTTCAGGAAATATGGTTTTTGCATTGAAATTTGCTTTTCAAAGTTAGACAAAGGTGTGAAAGAGATCAATAATAATGGTAGAAAAGCATGCTAGGAAAAAATTGAAGAAAAAGTAACAAGAAAGAAAACTAAAGCATGCACGGACAGTAAAATCATATGAGAAGGTACTAAACCACTAAACTAGGGATGAAATAGTCGTTGACTCTCTAACCGTACCCCTACCGAACGGCTATGATACCTACTTTACCATCTTACTATGATGATACTTACCTTTTGGATACTCCACACACCCCTCCCTTGCCTCGGTAACCCTGTAACCCTAGTACCGTGTCCCCGTAAAATCGTATTTGCGGTCATGTCCTTCAAAATCTCTAAAGCCACCATATCTTGTCTAGCATGTTCTGAGACTTGTCAATCCGAGCATCCTCATTTGAGCCACCTCTATCTTCCTCTCATGTGCCTTATTTGTTGCCCAACACTCCGCACTTCTAACATAGTCGGTCGAATGGCTACCTATGGCTCACTCATGCCTCAGGCAATTAAAGCCAGCCCCATACTGGTGAAGTCCCATTTTTAATAGAATTTTATATTGTTATTGTTATATACTTTTGTGCTGTTTTAATTTGTTATACACTAATTACTGGCCTTAAACACAAAATATGTCAAGTAATAAAAATATGAATCATGCAAAACATATGACATATGTATGATTAAACCTAATAAAATCTTATCTAAGATCAACTAGGTCACAAGAAATATTATATGGATTAACTATATTATCTATCAAGAAATATTTATTAAATTAATTTGATTTGATTACGTAGATCTAATCATTTCATTTGCCTCTCAAAAAGCAAGAAAAATAAAATTTCATTAAGACCTATTTTAACCTTGAGATGATGCCCTGCCTAGCTTATAGAATTCCCATTCAACTTTATCGGGACCTTCTTGTCACAAAACACTTTTGTGGCCACCCTCCATTTTAACGGACCAACCCTTTATGCAATAAGGCTTGGATCTTTATGAATTCTCCTAAGAGGTCACCGGTTCGAGTATGACTAAGTTGACCCAAACAACCACATTAACAGAAGAAAATGTATTTGATCTAGACCTACTAATGCGTAGGCCATGAGTTGTATCTCATGAGTAATATTTGTTCCCTCTTTGTTGTTTTCTTTCTAAAAGTTACTGCTTATATTAAGAATCTTCTTTTGCAGAAAATCGAAGAAGCACTGTGATCAAATCTGCACTAGGTAATATAATCTTCACTTCTTCGATAATATCAGAATTTTACCGACATGTACCGTGATTATAACCGTCAAAATCTTTTTCGACTGCAAAACTTTAATCCTATCTCATTCATTGTTTGCAGCAACTTTTGGAATTGGGACAGTAATTATCTTGATCTTGCTGATCATTTGCTTCAGATTCAAGATCTTCTCTAGATATGACACAGAAAAGTATATCAATCTGGAAACCTTCATAAAAAATCATGAAGCTCTTGCTCCAAAAAGGTACTCTTATTCAGATTTGAAAAAGATGACTGAATCCTTCAAAGTCAAAATAGGCGAAGGAGGTTATGGTTCTGTGTACCGAGGAGCGTTACACAATGGTAACTTAGTTGCGGTCAAAGTTCTGAACGAATTAAAAGGAAATGGAGAAGATTTAGTGAATGAACTCGCAAGCATTAGCAAGACCTCTCATGTTAACATAGTAAGTCTATTGGGATTCTGTTTTGAGGGCCGTCACCGAGCTTTGATTTATGAGTACATGCCTAACGGATCCCTAGAGAAATTCGTTTATAATCGAGGTTCGGCAATAGGTAGCCAACTAGAATGGCAGAAACTATATGAAATTGTAGTTGGCATTGGTCGAGGATTAGAGTACTTGCATCGCGGTTGTAACACCCAAATTCTACATTTTGACATAAAACCCCATAATATTCTCTTAGATAAAGATTTCTGTCCTAAGATATCTGATTTTGGGCTCGCTAAGTTATGTCCTGAAAAAAGAAGTGTCATTTCTATGTCGGGTATGAGAGGGACTCCGGGATATATTGCACCGGAAGTATTCTCTAGAAACTTTGGAGGGGTTTCTCACAAGTCGGATGTGTACAGTTACGGGATGATGGTATTAGAAATGGTCGGAGGGCGAAGGAATGCTGTGGTTGAAGTTAATGACACTAGTAACATGTTCTTCTCCCATTGGGTATATAAACAACTTGTGTCGAACAAAAATCTTGGATTGAGCGGGATTTTGAACGAGGAGGATAAAGAACGAGTAACGAAGATGGTTTTCGTAAGCTTATGGTGCATACAAGGCGATCCTTCAAGTAGACCATCAATGAGTAAGGTGTTGGATATGTTAGAAGGAGATTTAGAGTCCATACAAATTCCTCCTAAACCCTTCTTGTTTTCCCCTCCAAAATCACCAGATTCCCACCATTGAATCGCTATGATTCATGGTTAGAATTGAATCTGAAAAATGTAATCGGTTGTTCAGTAAAAATGTAATGGAAGATTTCATATTTATTCAAGATTTGTGGCAAAGTTCTCTCATTTGTCGTAACAAACCAAAGAACAAAGCAGTAGGCTGACCAAAATAACTTCGAACTCAATTTAAAACCTGGTGCAAGTTATTAGTAGCACATAGCTTGAATGTGGGACGAGTTATTACATTTATATACCCTTATTTCTATGATCCTAAATGTTTGCCAACAACTAATTTGTTGATGCAGATACAAAGAATGATGCTGGTGCAATATATGATTGCAAATGTCTTGCAATTGAAGCCTGCATTGTATCATCCAAGGTCTGTTGATCCCTACAAATAACTTTTTATATTTATTATCAGACTTTTGACCAATTAAGTTAGAAACATTCTGGTCCGACATCAGGGGCGGATCCACTCTATTGGATATAGTGGCATGGGCTACTGCTTCGGTCCTCCAACGTAGTGTAAAAACTTATAGGGTCGTGAAAGGTGTCACCTTATCATCTTGTTGTGTGCAACCGTATGAACGACAATGACGATACAAGTTTCTTTTGGTAGAGTTGATTTGAATGGCTTTTCTCCACCCCGGGCGTGGATTCGAATCTTGTTTGTGTTATTTTCTTAGTTTTTAGCTTTTAATTTCAGATTTATTATGTTTCTAGAAAAAAAAATGCAATAATAGACTCGAACACAGGTCCTTACATATGAAAAATAAAGAAATAATCAATAGACAAATGATGATTTTGTGTAAAATATTCATATCTTTGTTTTTCTATAATCAAATGATTTTATTTATCTAAATTTGCCTTGGCATGCCGCCATTTACATTCGAATTAAGCAAAATTTTCCTCGTGGAAGATTACCGGCTTACAATATAGATTCATAACATCCAGTAGAATCTATATAGATATTTTATTTATTAGAATATCTATATTAGAGATTGAAACAAATAATGATATTTAGTATAAATTGTTTAACTGATATTTTTGTAATTGAATCATACATAATCTTCGTAAGATTTCTAGAGACATTGGTAAATTCTACCATAACGTTTTTGACAATTGTATGATTATTGATAAACTGAAGAGGTAAAAGAAAGTGATTTAAATTTAAGTAATAAAGGAAAAGGAAAAGGAAAGTTCAGGGTCCAAATTTGGTAACTGTAAAGAAGTTTGAGGGGTTCCGTTGCAAATTGGTTGGTCGACTCCTAGAGTTTGAAAACTACCGCAAAATAGGTTAGCTTAAGCAATCAAATACGAATGGTTATGTTAATCAGCATTATTTAAAAAATTTTGGTTACATATTTATAAGTATATATATGTTAAAACGGTCAAATTATATATAATTTATAACATGTTTAATATCCAAAACAACTGCTTTAAACCATAGACAATTTTTCAAATGACCTTATAGTTGTGTATGTACCTCCGTGATTTGACTCTCTCAAATGTCTCCATATTTATAACATTATTTTTTTCCTTTCAATAAAAAAAATCGCATATTAATTACGAGAATAAAAATGAATTTTTTTAACGTTGTTTTTATTTGATTAAATTTTAATTTTCTAAGATTTTATAAAAACTTGTTTTGTTTGTTTTCAATTAAATATAAATTTTCTAGAAGTTGCTTTGTTAATTGTTTCTAAATTTTGTATGAAACCCTATTATTTTTTGTATTTTTAATTCAATAAATGCAACCAATTTTAGTCATTATAGTTTTAGCAACCGTCACTCATTGATGACCATATTACCCCTTACTGAGCCTCTCAATGGACAAGAAATGGTATTACTAGTAGGGTGTTAAATGTCATTTTAACAAAAACATTATATGATTGAGTTTGAAATTTTAATTTTGAATCTTGAGAATAAATTAAATAAATATAATCCTTTCTTTTATTTCATAAATAAAATCTTAAAATTTCCACAAGCAGTTCTTTATTAAACCATAACACTAAAATTTTGCCCGCCAAACGTTCAGTAGTGGCATATGTAATATCTTAAACGTTTGTATAACGCATAAAATAATCAACACACGTAATCATACCCAAATTCCATTCCAAAAACATAATCAGCGAATAAACGAAATTAATCCGAAATTAAGAGCAATAGAAGAAAATGATCATAGAAAACTCAGAAAAAGACTTCACAACCACAACCATCCCTACCAAGAAATTCAAAATTCAGGCAAATGCTTTCATCATGCTAGAATGGTCAAATGGAGACCAAAACTGCTATAATGAGTTGTACATCATGCAATAAAAGTTGTACATTATTCTGGATGAGCAATTACTTGTATGGGAAAGGGGAAAAGGTTGGAGGGAAATTTCAGTTCTTCTTTCATTGTCAAAAGACCATCAACAACCAAACAAACCTCCATTGGTAAGAAACTCATTACTCCATAAGCATATATTTCCAATTGTTATAAAGATTTCTTATTTCATTGCTTTTTCTTCTACTTCAAGTGAAAAATCCCATAGAAGGTTGTTGTTTAAGGATGGTGGTGTTGAGTGTTCTTCCATAGCTAACCGACACTTGCTTTATACATACTCCGTATACGGTTTCTTCTACTCAATTGTCTTCATATGCTACCATAGATTACGTTTGGCTTTTCTCTCATCTTTCTATCCTGATTCGTATGTTTTCATGTCTGTTTTCGATACTTTTACAGTGTAAGTTTTGGTTTTTTTTTTTTGAAACTAACATGAATTAGACGTGTTTCAGTGACTAAACGTCATCATGCCATTTGGGTTAGTTTCAGCTTGGAATAAACGAAGGAGAAGCAAGTCAGATGATCATCTTGATCCATGTAAGTTTTCTTCGGTTTTCTGCAAGTTCCTACCCAAGATTTCTTGAAGTTCTGATGGAGAACTCAAGATTTCTTGAAGTTCCGATTGTGGACCCAAGATTTCTTGAAGTTCTGATAGTGAAAAACTGAATTTTCAGGGGTTTATAGACCTGTGGAGTATTGGAAACTTGAAAATGATCAAAAGATTCAAAACCCACCATCAAAAAGGCATTATGGATCATCGGTTTTTACTCTGAAGGAAATGGAGGAGGCGACTTGTTCTTTCAGTGAAGAATATCTGCTGGGAAAAGGAGGATTCGGTAGAGTTTACAAGGGAAAGCTGCAGTCTGGTGAAGTAAGTTTTCATAAAGTCATAATCTTGTACTGAATTTCCTAAAGAAAACCGGATGAATCGACATCTTGATAAAGATGGGATTCAATTATATTAGGAAGAAAAACAAAGAGAACAGATTCCAAATAAAAAGTAAGAATCTTGAATTTTTCGTATTGAAAGGTTGTGGCGATCAAGAAAATGGAGTTACCGCCATTTAAAGCAGCAGAAGGGGAGCGCGAATTCCGTGTTGAAGTTGATATTTTGAGCAGATTGGATCATCCAAATCTTGTTTCATTGATAGGATATTGTGCAGATGGGAAGAATAGGTTTCTGGTTTATGAATACATGCACAAAGGAAACCTACAAGATCACTTAAATGGTTGGTCTTTTCAATTTCTTTTTGGGTGCGTTTGGTATCCAGACATGATAGAACAGGACAGAACAATTTTTGTTTTAATCAGCAAAATTTTGGTAGAATTTTTCTATCACTTTATATAATTTCTAATTACAGGAATTGGGGAAAAGAAGATGGATTGGCCTGTGAGGCTTAAAGTGGCGATTGGGGCAGCAAGAGGACTTGCTTATTTACATTCAAGTTCTGCTGTTGGAATTCCTGTTGTACATAGAGATTTCAAATCAACCAACATTCTTCTAAGTGACGACTACGAAGCAAAGGTATAAACATCTTCACTTTCTTTAATATTCAGTTTCTAAAATTAGTAATCGGATGGTTTTTACAGATATCAGATTTCGGTCTAGCCAAGTTAATGCCGGAGGGTCAAGAAACTCATGTGACAGCAAGGGTGCTTGGTACATTTGGCTATTTTGACCCTGAATATACATCGGTAAGCAGTGGTTTCTATTTTTTTTTTCTATAATTATCCGGATTATGATCTTCAAGATCTTCATTTTCTGATCTGGGTTTCCTAGATTAGTGACATAATGACATTACTATTAACATAAACATCATTAAAATCGACATTAAAGTCGAGTTTAAGCGAATATAGCAACAAACGTCACGTATAAAGTTGACCTGAAACTTAGGGCTTGTTTGTTAGCAGCTTAATGAGCTTAATGGGACTCACAACGATACATGACTGTTTGGTAGTGGCTAAATGATATAGAAAGTGGCTTATTCAGTAAGCTTTTAGGGGGAGCTTTATGAAGAAAGCCAAGGTTTTTCCTAACCTGCCCTTCCCAATTAGAAAACATGCTCCTTCCATCTATGAGAAAACCCTCCTAAATAAAAACATTCTCAATCTATACAGACAGATTAATCCACACAAACAGCTTTATCCATACAGAACTTAATGGAAAACCAACCAAACATATATGCCATAGATAATGTGGCATCATGTTACTTAAAAACCATGTTTGGCAACCATAAGCTAGTTTATAAGCTATCTTATTTTTTAAGCTTATTAAAAAAAAACCCGTTTGGTTAGCCATAAGCCAGCTTTCAGAAAAGCTGCTTCAAGTCGTGTTTTAGTAAGCTCCAAGGGCCTTTTTCCAATTATGCTCCTTATATTTTTCGGTTTTTCCAATTACTTTATCAGCATGTCTTTTTAGGTCATTTTACATTGTCATCTAGTGTATCAGCTAGTTTTTACCAAACGCGCTAAGGAATTGTGTGGTTGTTTTTCCATCAAGTCCTATATGGATTAATCTGTCTGTATAGATTGAGAAGGTTTTTGTTTGGGAGGATTTCTTTTATAGATGGAAGGAGCATGTTTTTTAATTGAGAGGTGTATGTTTGGGAAAAAAAACTTAGCTTTTTGCATAAAGCTCCCCTCTAGAAGTTTACTGAATAAGCCACTTTATATATCATTAAGCCACTACCAAACAGTCATTATAGTTGACCGAATAAGTTGTAAGTCTCGTTAAGCTAATTAAACGGATAACAAACAGACCCTAACTAGCTTATCTAGTTTGCCAAACATAGCTCAAGTACTACATTGGTTCCAACGAACTAGTATATTTCAATCAAAACCGTTACTTTTCAACTTACAAGAAACTACTTTCCTAAACAGACGGGAAAACTCACTTTACAAAGTGACGTTTACGCATTTGGAGTTGTTCTTCTTGAACTTCTAACTGGGCGTAGAGCCGTGGACCTCAACCAAGGACCCAATGACCAAAATCTTGTACTGCAGGTACGGTTTTTTGTCATTATTCCGAATCTTATAATGGCCTAGGTCAAGATATTACCAAGGGTATTTTGGTAAAAATGCAGGTTAGGCACATACTGAACGACAAAAAGAGGTTGCGGAAAGTCATAGATCCAGAGATGATCAGAAGCTCATACACAATCGAGTCAGTAGCAATGTACGCAAACTTAGCATCACGATGTGTGCGTGTTGACAGTAACGAAAGGCCATCAATGGAAGAATGTGTGAAAGAACTCCAAATCATCATTTATACAAACTCTAAAGGCGTAGGCATGGCAATGCACGCGTTTAGAATGCTATGAGAATTCATTAAGACTTGTTTCTATTTCCAAAATAATTATTTCCGTTCTTATATAGCACAATCATCGGAGATTTTGGTGTTTTTCTAAGAAACTCGGAGAACCCACAAACCCTAATCAAAAAACGAATGAGAAATTGAGAATGTTTGATGTTTTGGGTTTGATTTCTAGTAAACATCTTGTAGTTTGATATGTTAGTATGCTTGATAACATTATATTCTTTTGTGGAACAAATATACATACGGAAATGAGAAAAAACACACGAAATAAACATGTTACTATGATACATTAATCGTAGAGCTTTAGGCATCGTACCTCATGATACACTAGCCGTTGATGCAATATTTTTGTCGTCAGCATACAACGTATTTGTGTCTGAAACGATGTTTGAGGCCGGAGGAAGTTGTTTCCGCATTAAATGCTTACGTCTTTGTAATGTTAGAAGGATCAAAAAGCTATCGGTCTTGAAGACGTTGTATCCTGCTTTTGAATACATGTTGAATGGAGCTGAATCGATCATTCTACAGTGCAAATAAACCTCTCTTACTGAACTCAATTGCGAAATAAGTTCCTCACTTGCCTTCAAAAGATGCCAACCGATGCCCTGCCTGAAGTTAATCATATATGAATCAGTCATCAATCCATATTCACATCACTTTCAATCGAATCCAAATACATTCTTGTTGGTTAAAATCGTATGAATTTACATAATCTTGATTCCAGGAATCAATTAAGATTCCCTAACTTGAAATAATCAAATATGAAATACGCAACAAGGAAAGTAACTCAATTAAGTAAAGAATTGATGCTTAGATTCAACACATTCACTTGTGAATACCTGAATTAAGTAAAGCATTGATGCTTAGATTTAATCAATTCACTTGAGAAACATTCACACGTGCATATACATATGTACACGTGCATAAAAACCAAAAAACCGCTTAGACCGTCCATATGAACAGTTAGTTGGATTTTCCTCTATATTCTCTCAAGATTTTCAATCAATCTTGAAGTTGAATGTTACTCCATTCCACCTCAAACATCAAGAACCCTAAAGTATTGCACATCATAGTGCTAAATCTACAAGAAAACCCACAAAATTTACCACAAAAAAATGAGAAATTACCTTCTTAAAGACTTCTTGACTGTCATATTACAAATATAAGGTGCATTCTTTGGAGGAGTTGGAGTTGGAGGTGAAACATTAGCCCCAAATTGATCAAAATTAACTTCCACAGTCCCTGCCAATTGGATATCTTCTTCTTCTTCATCATCAGTATTTCTCCTATGAAATGCAATCAAAGTGGCAGTATGAGGCATTAAAGCTCTCCTTTCAATCAAATATTGTTTCACAAGAAAACCCAATAGTTTGGTATAAGCTTTAGGCAACATCATAGATTCTGCAAAAGATTCAGCCAATAAATCCACTGTCATATCCATTTCTTGTTCTTGCATCACTCGGATTAGGAGCATCGACCCAGATGGTAATTTGTGGAATACTTTGAAACTATCGAGAAATTGGAGGTTTTGGTGGTCGGAGTCGGAGACGAATTTTCCGGTGGGAATTGGGTTTTCTTGGACGGTGGAGGACGGTGAGTGAGAGGAGGAGCAAGTGAGGATGAGATGTGTGGATTTGGGGGAGATTTTGGGGAAGGTGGGGCTTATGATGTGGGTTTTTGGATAGTAGTGGTGGCGGAGATGGCGGTGGTTTTGGAGATTATGGCGGTGGTGGTGGTGGATGGAGGAGGAAGAAAGAGAGAATGGTGCTCCGGCCATGGTGGTGGAAGGGAGGAGGTCGAGATTGGTTGTTTGTTTTGTTTGCGGATAAAAATGGTGACCCTTTGAGAGATCTTGATACGGGAAAATTGCAGAAAACTTTGAAATTTGATCCACACCAGAATAATAAATAAATAAATAATATACATATATTTTTATCATAAAAAATAGCCGAGTAAGTTGAGGAGCTCCATGACACAAATGTTTGACTCGACTCATTCGATTAAAGTTTACGAGTTGAGTCAAGTCGAACCGAGCTATTTTTTTTCGAGCCAAACATATTTATATGCTTATAAACTAATATTTATATGGCGTTTCATATAAACCAATATTGTTTCATATGTAAAACATTCAAAAGGATTTTACGTATTGATAAAGTCAGTAATAAACATTTCACATATAAAACAACCGACACTGTATTTTCATACATATTCATATGGAAACTGGTTTACAAGCTTATACAAACTATTAGGTCCATAAAAACCATTTTATTTCCCTCCTTTCGGCCGAGATTCGTGAATCCAACGATCTTCTTATCAAGCATAAACCGATTCCTCGTACTTCCCACTCCACCTGTCGAACAATTCACATTCGAAAAAAACGATCATCATCTTCAACATTCGTTCACAACAAGTTACAGATTCAAATCACAAGACGAACAAAAACCAACCTTTGTTCGTCGTTTTCAGGAACCCTAAGCTCCAAATCTTGTTCAAACGGCTGGAAAACAAGATCCAGTTTCTGGGTGTCCACTTCCCCAAGTGTTGGAGGATCCCACTGTTGTTTCAAGAAATCAAGATCCTAACTTTATGATTCTTGATCATCCTAAAAGTTTCAAGAACCTAAAAGGATTGATTGATTACCTTTGGAGAGTTATCTTTGTCTATGGTAAGAGCTCGAATACCCTATTCGTTGCCAAAAAAAGGAAAGATTCATTTCGGATTCTGTAACGCCCAAAACAACAGGTTGACCCAATAACTTCCAAATCAACTTTAAAACATATTACAAGTCTAGGGGGTCCTTTTTAGGGTGGGTTTTAGTATTGACACAACATGATAGAACATAACAGGACAGACCAGAACAAATGTTCGGCGTTTGGTAAGATGGAAATAGACAAGATAGAACAGATAAAATGACCAATTTACCACTCATGAGTTGTTTATATATTTTGATTAATTTATGTATTTTATTAAATTATAATAAAGTAAATATTTTTTATAACAAAAATATATCATCAGAAATCGTTTATCAAGACGATTAAAATGACACCAAAATAAAAGGTTTATGCAGTTTCCAATTTTCATTTTATACCTTTTCCGTATTATTTTTTTATTGTTAATGTTTAATAAATTACATTAATTAATCAAAACATAGAACCCTATAAAATAATATATTTAAAACGGTAAAGTGAAAGTTTAAAGAGCATAAAATACGATAAATAAAATTTAAAGAATGAATAGAATAGAAAGAGGGAGACATATTTGATGTTTTAGAAGATAAAATTAGATTTTATTTTGAGGTTATATTGGTAAAATATAGGTAAATTCCATCTTGTTTCATGGGTGTAAGACCTACCAAACGTGGAACGGTGATCTCTGTTCTGTTTTGTCTTGTTTATTGTACCAAACGCACCCGTAGGAACATTAAATATTTTAGGAGCCCAAAAACCACCCTTTTTGTGAGATAAATAATGTGATAAAGTATTCAAGATGAATGTCATCACTTATTTTCACGATGAATAATATTCATCATGAATACTTACAAAATAAGTGGTTTCTGGGTTCCCAAAACATTGACGGTTCTTAAATGAACTTACCCCTATAAATCTAATTTTCTATCTAGGGAGGACGGGGTTCTTGCGGTTTCATGTCAAACATACCTCGTAAACGTCGCCGGATATTGTGGTTCGGAGTATATTCATTGTGAGTCTAAATTCTTTCTTCAGACACTCGGAAAGCGTTTGCTTCCTCCCATCACGAATCTGCAAATCAAAACAACCCGTTCTGAAAATTGTTAAAACCCGATAGAACTCTGCTAACCCAAAACCGAGTCAAATTGACAAAGTTTGGTTCAATTCAGTAGGATTTCACGGTTTGATGTTTGGGAAGAAAATTACCGATCTTAGAGTTATCTTTAAACCAGTAGGAGACGATCGTTTTAAGCCTTTAAGCACGGGTACGATCCATCCGTTTCCTTCCTTTCTTGATTCGGCTTCCTGTAAAAGTTACAAACAAATTTTACCGTAAACAAGAAGAAATCCTTTGTTGTTAAAAAGCCGAAAAGGAAACTTACGAATGATTCTAGGATCTCTTCCACAGAATCTTTTGAAAAACACTCGTCAATTATCGGGCGTCTGCATTCAACCAACGAATCGTCAGTTTCGTCTAAAGTTTCCAAAAATAGAAACTTTAATTCTTGATTTACAGAATCATTCATTACTTGTTTAAGATACTTTCTTCACCAATCTGAACATCTAAAGAGAATTCTTCAATGGCTGCTTTCACTTCACTCTCGCTGCCGGAGTTCAGGCTTACCAAACGGTTTTCTAGCGCCGGTAGTTTCTGAAATAGACATTGCAATTACCACTTTTAAATCCAAAGAGTTTAAGGCTATGTTTAGCAAACTAGCTGATAAGGTAGCTGATAGATGAAAACTGGCGTATAAAACTAGTTATGTTTGGTAACAACTAGCTCAAAAAATAAGCAAGTTTATGGGGATAAACACTTCAAACTCACATCTAAAGGAACCAAATGCGTTGCTAATCCGGATGCAACCAATTCCCCACCACTCAACCGTGCCCCGGTCAACGCAAAGTATTCACCTACAACAAAACCACCAAAAAGACGACATCTTTTTTGGTTAAACGTTTTCTTTCATTGTTTTCTTCTACAAATCTGCTCACTTTTCAATTGGGTTGTCAAGAAATGTCATAACACGATAAATTTTTAGTCCAAAACATTGTAAAATCAGCTGAATATGTACCCAAATGGCCTGGAAGACGAGAAAGGATGTACGAGAAACCACAATCAGTATGAAACCCAATACTTGCTTCTGGAGTGGCAAAGACCTAAAGTAAAGTAACGATGAATAACTATTCAATTTAAAGAATCAGCAAGTAAAACATGTGTCAAGTGAAATAGTAAAAAACTTACGGTTTTTTCTGTGACAACTGAAAACTTCATCGGAACCATAAGTGATGCACCTCCACCCATTGAAATCCCATGAACAAGAGCAACCTAGCGAAAAAAGAACCATTTGCAACTCACTTTTCACAAGAACACTGGTTTGTTTCCGATGAAAAGCTAAGATGGTTCTAAAAAGTCAATGGCTGAATCGAAAAAGCACCTGTGGTTTCTTGTAGGTATGGATGTGGTAGCAGAGCCAATAAAATCTATATACTACTTCAAGACATGAATCCTCTGTGAAAATTAAGACGAAAATTGTAATGGCCGAAAAGCTCTAAATACAAAAGAAGCAATAAAGTGTTAATTGAGAACGATGAAATTACTCGATATCCTGCCATCATAGAACATTTTCAAATCCCCACCGGCAGAGAATGCACGACCTGCACCCTGAAAGATCCTTAAAAGAGTCAGGGGGTGTTTTGTTGGTTTTCCAATTCAGTTATGCATGGATAAAGTTGTTTGTGTGGATTAATCTATCTATCTAGATTGGAAAGGTTTTTGTTTCGGATGGTTTTTTCATAAATGAAAGAAGCATGTTTTTTAAATGGGAGGGGGAGGGTTAGGGAAAAACTTGGCTTTCTGCATAAAGCCTCCCCTAGAAGCTTACTGAATAAGCCACTTTCTTATATCATTAAGCCACTACCAAATAGTCATGTATAGCTAACCGAATAAGTTGCAAATCCCATTAAGCTCATTAAGCTGCTAACAAACAGGCCCTTGCACAAAGTTGTTCAAGACCAAAACCATCTTGATGTTAAGATTCCAATAATTCTAACTCAAACAGGAAGGCACTTTTCTAGAATCCTACTATAAGTAGCATTTCAATAAGCTAGTTTATGATTTATCAAACGGGACTTTCTCAATAAGCTCAAAAAATTAAGCTGGCTTGTGGATTAGGATTAGGACAGCACCAACCTTAATAATCACTAGCTTTGCATCTTCATCTTTTTCCCATTTTTCCAGGTTTTCAGCCAGTAGATAAACCTAATAACGAATACAAACAGCAAAATAATCTTATGTCTAATAATCCAAAAACACAAAATCAGACATAAAGGTTAGGTTGCTTCAGTTCACCACTCTTGACGAAATCACATTCAGTTTTCTTGGCTGATTCAAGGTGATCAATCTCACATTACCCTTTTCTTCAGCAAGAACAACCTAAATGGGGGGTTCAACAAATTGATCAATCACACACACAAGGGAAGATCCCTGAATTTAGAACCCTAAAATCTAAATAACATAAAATGCATAGAGATTAGATTACCTCCTCATCTTGGCTAACAGCCATTTGAATCAAATACCCAATTCAAGCTGCCTGTGAAATTTCATGAAATGGGAACTTATAATTTCACAAAAAGAAGTAGAAATCAATATTAGGAACAAGATCTTGATACCCAGTTGCTAAAACTTGATAAAGATTATGAAAATGTAGCAAGTAATGGTGCATTAGGGTTCATAACCAAAAGATTAGGGATGGAATCTTGAACTTACGTAATGAAATTAGAAAGCCAGGTGTTGGAGAAGAGTGGGGAAGCTTCTAATTCATGAATCTTGGATTAAAGATGGAAGAAATTAGTGTATTTGTTTTTCTCTTATTTTCTTGGTGAAAAATAAATTGAATTTAAAATCTTAAAAATTCTACTAAAAAGTGAAATCGGGTTTGGTGGGATTGGTGGTAGGTGCAATCATCTTCAAACTGTGAGATATATCAATTGAGTAAATTACAGATTTCGTCCCTGTGGTTATATATAAATTACAGATTGGTCCTTTAAAAGAAATAATTACAGCTATAATCGTTTTTGTTACGGATTGGATCTCTTATCCTAACGATGTTAACTTTGCTCCATTAAGTCCAGCATATTCTCATCTTTTTTTTACAAGTTAAAAATAGGAAAAGGTTCAAAAAACCTCAGAAACTTAATCATTTAAAATATAAAAATTTAACAGTTTTTTAATTTAAAATAAGAAAGTTTCTTAGATTGAATTAAACTTTTTCTTATAAAATTATATTTAAAAAAGGAGTGTGGTGCGAAGGGGTTTAAACTAATGCCAGAATATGCTGGAGAGACGGTGCCATAGTACTCGAAGGGGCGCCGGCTATTAATATCTCTAAGAGAGAGAAAAATAGGTTTATTTAAGGAAAAACTGCTTAGTTTATAGTAACTGTCAGATGATCAGATCTAATCTTAATCATAAAGTAAAAGTTAAATAAGAAAATTAATAATTTTAATTTAAAATATTAATTAAGGGTATTTTAGTCATTTTAGATTTCTCTCTCAACTCTCTCCGTCAAACACCTCTCTCCAACGAACATCATATCAACAGATGATGCACACTATGATACTCTTTATAAAAATAACGAAAAACACAGTGTGATATACTTGGTAAAGAAAACATTACCTGATATATTGTGTTACACTTCGTAAAACAACAAAAAAAAATATTGTGATACACTTCGTATAACGACAAAAATACACAGTGATGCACACTATCATACCAAATCTGATTGATGATTACAACTGTGAATCTGTGATGCCACTATGATACCCGATAACTTTTAACTGTAAGAAATTATATATTTATTTTTCTCAATTGTAACTTCATAGAAAAAACTTTCATAATTTGTTCGATTAATAAGGAAACAATATCAATCTCTTTATTGATAACCCTAAAGGAAATTTTAATAAAATTACTAATACACTATTTTTCTTAATTAAGGTAATATAATAAAATAATTGGCTCATATTGGTACTCACAGTTACCACAAACGAATTAGTTCACATTTGATTATGTTCATATATAAGAGCTCATTTAAAGGAGAACTGATTAGTTTGTGGTAACCGTGAGATCTAATGTAAACCACTCGTTTGAGATATTTAAGAATATTTCTTAAATAAGTTAAAAGAGTAATATAGTAATTCAAAATTTGACAACTAATCAAGATATTTAATTAAATTTCTTATAAGATAATATTTAATTAAAAATAGTTACCTATTATATCAATTACCTGATATACATCGTATTTTAAAGACGTTTTGTGAATCAAAGTGTATCACAGTGATAACGTTCACAATGTTTCACGTGTATCGTAATGTATTTTCTTTGTTTTATGAAAATGCAATGAAAATGTATCATAGTATGCATTTTCGTTATTTTCATTGTCTTACAAAGGGTATCACATCGTGCATCTTGTATGTATTTTGGGTATCACATTGAATATCGTTTGTATATATCACAATGTGTATCCTATGTTCACATAAGGTTCATCGGAATAAGGTTTACCAACTAAGATTCGGCGGAGAGAGAAAAGAGAAGAGATGAGAAAGGATATTTATAAAATTATTAAAATGCCCTTAATTAATATTTTAAGTTAAAATTATCAAAATTATTAATTTTTCTAATTTAACATTTGATTTGTGGTTGAGATTGGTCTCACAGTTACCACAAACAAAATAGTTCTCGTTTTATTAGACCCCTATATATGTGTAAGATATTTTGTAAACCAAACTATTTGTACAAACCGTAAAAACCGTTAATTTCATCGTTTATTTCAATTAAAAAAAATTCATTAAAAATTTTAATATGATGAAACTGTTTCAGATTATTTCAAATTCCTTTCGTCTTTATGAGAACAAAGATAAAAAAAAAAAAACTATTTTTCTTTTCTTTTTTTCCCTCAGTTTATTTTCCTTTCATTTTGTTTTCTTTTAAAATTCAAGAACACAATGTTAAAGCTCCACAACTTCCCGTTCTTACCATATCAAAATGGATTCATTTTTAATTTTTTTAATTACATATTTAACTTTTGCAGCGTTATGTAATAAGAATATAGTTTCAGTGGATGCGTTTTGTTGAGACGTCACGTCTGGTAGAAAAAAGCTACAAGTGTGCAACAATGTGTGTGTGTGTGTGTACATATACGCATCTACTTTTTTTTACCAGATGTAACGTCTTAACAAAACGCGTACATTAAAAACATATTGTTATTATTTAAACATACGAGGTTAAAACCGTAAGAAAAATATATATGACAATTCATGATTATCGAGTTAATTTGTTTATAAGACAAAACAATTCAAATGAATAATCATCCAAGTTACATGTTCTAGAAACATAAATCAATAGTAATTATCATTTATGCAGGAACGTTCAAATAAGAAACTTAAAATATCGTGAAAAGATAAAAGAGAATGAGAAAGGAAGATTCATATGTGAATCATCAAAAACAATTCATTTAAATATGCATACATAAAAAACATATAAATAAATTGTAATGTTAATTCACATATGCATATTCAAACAAAATTTTCAAGCTTTTTTCAATAATTCACATATAAATCTTCCATTCCCTACGATTTTTTTAGCCTTTCTTATATGCTTATCTGTTCAGATTTTCATCCAAAGTTTCAAAGGGGATTCATTGGATTCTTCTTCTAGAGGAACAGTGAATACACTTTCCATAAAGTTTCTTAAAGAGAGTTTGCACATGAACTTGTGAACTTCATGTGAGCGATCATCTGTCATCATATGACTTTTGTTTAAACAATCATTAACAACAACATTAATTAATCAAAAGGTTTAATAAAGTTTTCCTTAAAATAAATTAATCATAATACAGTGTACCCAAACAAGCCAAGAACGACAACAACAACAAACAAAGATCAATGCTAATCAAAACAAATGCATTTTCTGGCCTCAGATTCATATGTGAATATAATAAATAAATAGCATGAATGTGTTCGGAATTTACCTCAAAAGTTACAGAATATGAAGTAATCTTATCTGTACAGCAGTAAACAAGCACCATATCTTGAATTCTACCACAATTTCTTCATCAATCCGTCTGAAAAACGAGGTCGCTGATCATCATCTCCTCTGTTTCGATCCAAGTATTTTGGATTCGATTTACCTGATTTCTCAATCTTGATTGCTGAAACCGGATTAAACTATCTAAATTTGTTTAAAGATTCCATCTTGTCATTATATCTAACATTATCTCGTTCCATGTATCTATAGGTCCGGGTAAGCACCAATGAACACAATCGTTCGGTACCCTTTCTGGGATCCCGTTAGCAAAAGGAAACGGATACATATAAGGACCCGGATGTCCATCTGGTCTCATCAACGCTAATCTAGACACATCTAACGCCTCTAAACGAAAATCCTTGGCATTTTTCTTGGCTGCCATCACTTGCTCCATTTCTTGATTTCTCATCTCATAATCCATTCCTTCTAGTTTCCTTTCGTTTTCCTCAAACGGTTTTGTTTTCGAACAAGCCTCTAAAGAATCCCAATCACCTTCAAAATGGGCGGGCGAAAAGGTCGTGACAATCACATCAATTCGCCTATCGATCAATGCCTTGAGGGTAGTATTGAATGCCTTCCCAAAAACATCATAGAATCCAACCTCAGTAAAGTTCTTTCCATCACAAAAATGGCAACCTAAAACTAAATCATTATAGTAAAAAACTGCTGGATGAAGATACCAATGACCAATTGACAGAACCATCATATCAATTTCACCCAAATCTTTAGCCCAAACATCATTAACAGAATCTAAATAGAGTCTATTATAAGGGGTTTCTTCTGATTTCTCAATACCCTTAACAAGAAATGGTGACCAATAAACTGAAACATTAACATTATGGGATGCAAAATGCCATTTTCTGAACTTGTTGTCTTCACCACTGGTGAAAATAAGATTAGGGGTTGAGGCAGTGGCAAGCAAACAGAGAAGAGACTCCAACTGGTTTCTAGCGATGGAGTCACCCACAAATGCCAGGTGTTTGTCTCTGATTAGCTGGAGGAAAGTATTGGGGTCAAACCTGGGGAGATGACACTTGTTAGGCTTCCATCTCCAATAGAGATAGTCCATATCTGGCCTGCCATGGCTAGCACAGTTCTGACCATCTTTGATTGTACCACATGCAGTTGAGTTGTATAGTGGACCAATTTGGTCATAGACCCATTTGCCATCAGTATAATCACAACCATTGGTCTTCCTCTCTTCTTCCACAAAAACTGTAAAAATAAGGGTTGTTTGTTAGTAGTTTACGAGCTTAATGGGACACACAGATTAATGATATAAAAAGTGACTTATTCGTTAAGGAGTTTGTGCAGAAAGCCTAAACTTCCAAACATGCCCCACAAGAAATAAAAACTCTCTTTCCATCTATGAAAAAAAGCCATCTCAAACAAAACCATTCTAGTCCAGATAGATTAATCCATGGAAAGCCAAGAAACCCAAGATCCAATTAATACCAGAATCAAGAATTTGTAATCAATGGTTTTTGTCACATAAAACCCAAGAAAACCCAGGTTCCAAATAGTAAAAAGATGAGGAATTTATCATTATTTAGACCAACCTAGAGATTCAAAACAATCTATAGAGACAAACACAATCATATTACAGTACAAATAGTGCATAAAGATCGTACCTGTGGAAGGAGAAGGTGTAGATTTGGGGGTCAGAAGGTGATCAACGGCAGCGGGGGTGGTGGTGGTGGTGGTGGATGATGGTAGAGAGGTGAGGGAAGGGAAGAAGTATAAATGAACGATGGCAATCAGGAGCAGAGCATAGAGAGCATAAGGCAACAGTTTCCTTCTAAGAGAATGGGGATGATCCTTAAAAGGGCTTTGAATGCCCATTTTTCATCAATGAACCAAGTTTCTCTGAATCTTTATGATGTGGGTGTTGAAGAATGAAGCAGATGTTGGATGTTTGTGATGAAGAAAGGTGAAAGAGTGTAGGGTTTTCTGGGGTTAGGGATTGGGTCAAGAAACAGAAAGAGGAAGGCAAAGACAATAGCAATATATAAGGAAGATTTTGACAACCATTTTGTTTGAAAAGAAACCAATGGTGGTGAGAACAAAGTTGTCTTCCAATTCCTATTGGCCCATCTGTACTCCTCGCTTGAATCATTCTCTTACCAATCAAGTTGACTTGGGCACACCCCCCACCCTCTAAAACCCATGTTTTTTTAATTTATTTTTCTATTTTTTATTATTAAAATAATTGTATCAATTTTTATTGATTGACATGGTTTTTTTAATTATAAATATATTACAAAGTCTTTAAAATAATACACTCATTTCTTTAAAACATTTACAAACTTTAAAATTTTCTTTAAAATGAACCCATTATTAGACACTAGAAGGGTATTTGCGTAATTCAGCAAGATACATCTCAATTTTAATATTTTATTTTATTTTTTGTCTATGTCAATGTTATAATACGATTTTATGTGTTTTTAAAAAAACAATAATGATTTTATTTTTGAATAAAATATAAATTTGAAGATATCATAAAATTTTTAAATATATATATATATAGGGGCTCATTCAAAAGAGAACTGATTAGTTTGTGGTAACTGTGAGATCCAATTCCAACCATAAATCTACGAATAAATTAGGAAATTAATAATTATGGTAGTTTGAGTTAAAATTATAATTAGAGGGTATTTTAGGTATTTTTTAAAAAACTCATCTCTCCTCTCTTCTCTCTCATCTCTCCGACCTCCGATCTCCGGCCTCCGGTGAACAAAAATCCGGCAGATACCAAGTAATCACAAAGATATACAATGTGATACTCATTGTGATATACTGTGATACCATTTGAGTATCACTGTATATCACAATGTGTATCACATTGTGTATCTTTGTGATTACTTGGTACCTGCCGGATTTTTGTTCATCGGAGGCCGGAGCTTGAAGGTCGGAAAGATGAGAGAGGAGAGAGAAGAGATAAGTTTTTTAAAAATGTCTAAAATGTCATCTAATTATAATTTTAACTCAAACTATCATAATTATTAATTTCCTAATTTATCCGTTGATTTGTGGTTGAGATTGGATCTCACAATTACCACAAACAACTCAGTTCTCATTTGATTAAGCTCATATATATATATATATATATTAATATTAATATCAAACCAACTATTTATAAGAACTAAATGTAATTATTGTTCTTATATTTAACATCAAAATTTGTTGCTTATAAATATATTTTTTGTTTGTACTTGTTTCTCCTTTTAAATAACTTAAAATATGTTACAACATAAATAAATATGACATAGCATGTGGTTGATGAAAGTTTATATGACTCAATTCAAAAGGGAAGATGCATTGAAGTTATTACATGCCAAATTTAATGAATTTTGGCCATTTTGGTATTTAAGGTTTGCTTCATATTTAAGCATACAAACATTAAAATTGCCTTTTAATGAAAATGGTGTAGTGTGTGGGACCGTGGGTTGAGTTCATGTATAAGTAGTATGTTTTCGTGAGACTACAAAATAATACTAAAACTTCATAGTAAAACATTGTGAACGTACAAAAAAATGAACATTTACAGTAGAAAAACGTTGTAAATGCTTTACCTTCACAATGTTTTAATATAAATGTTTTAGTGTAATTTATGTGGTTTTATGGGTATAATAAAGATAATATTTTCTCATATAAAACCAAGTCTGATATGATAATATGACGTTATAAAATAATAAATTGTATATATAAAATAAAACATAAAATCGATCTTAATATCACATCATTACATATGTTTCGTTATCATAAGGTTTTACTAAACCGTAAATATTTTTCCGTTTTGTTTGGTTTTCTTGTTTTTATAACATAAATCAAAAGATCACAACAAAATGGTCAAATGTCATTAATTGGTATATAAATTTTCAACCCATAAAAATGGTACCTAATTGGTTTGAGCTTCAGTTTCAACAGTCAAAAGTGTCGGGAGATCACAAGTTTAAATTCAAAGAAGAATAAAAATCCTCTTATGACCATGAAGGTTCAAATATAGTGACTTTAAATTACTATTACCCGCAAAGCTGATGGTCATATATGAAACATACATGTTTATGCATATTTTAACGTCGGCCGGTCATTTCTTTTGTTAAAAATAAATCGATATTCTAAATATTAAATGAGAAAAATTAAATAAACACCGACATTCAGTGAAAATAAAAAGAAATGATTTCTTTTTTATTTTTTAATAATTCAAGGCAACCACGTTGAATAAGACAAATTTTGTTCAATGATTTCTGTAACATGGTGGACGAATTCATAAATTTATAGTTTTTTTAATTTATTATCCTCAATATTCAATTCGTTATACAAGCCGACTGATCTTAAGATGGCTACTTGTTTTATGGATAGCTCAAAGTCACCGTATTTAAACATTTTTGTTTATAATAGGATTTTTATTCTTACTTAGAACCTGCAAGTACTTTTGAGTTTGGAGTTTAAGCTCAAACCAACTAGACATCATGCTTATGATAATCTAACGACTCATGTTAAAAGAATTTAATTCAAATCAAATGAAAATATAAATATTTGATTTATAATTTTTTTTTTAAATAATAACGTTTTTTATATTATTTTTACAGAAATAAAAAAGTTCAAGCATAAAATACTAGAATTTACATTGTAAATAATAATAATAATGTTTTTATATTATTTTTATAATTTACGAGAGTATTTGTGAAGAAAATTAGCAATTAAACATATTTATGAGTTATTTTTTTAATTAAATTAATAAAAAATATGAATATCCAATAAATTATAATACGTTGTCTTTTTGATACAGTTTGTTTGACTTCGATTTTTTATTAAAAAATAAATGGATTTTTGTTTTTGTTTTTGTTTTAATAAATAATGGTTTTAATCACATTTTTAATTACATTTATTGAATCATTTTATTTTACAGTTAAAAAATCTTTTTATGTGCTTTCTTATTTAAACTTCCCTATCTCCAACAGATTCTCCAAAAATATATATTTTGAGGATTTTCGTTATAACATATTCTTCAGAATACTCTATAAAATGGAAAAAATATTAGAAAGAGAATGAAATTCTTCAAATTTTAAAAACTCTCAAAAAATGATTCTATATGAAAAACTGTTTTTTAATTATTTATACCAATGAAAATCTTAGAAATTAAATGCATAAAAGATCGAAATAATATTTTATGAAAAATAATCTTTAAAAGGGAGCAATTATTAGAGATGAACATAAATTGTATTTGAATATTCTAACTTCTCATTCTTTATTTTTAATAAATTTATAGAAGATATTTTCATATCTATACTATATTATAAAACATTTGGCAAAAACTCTTAAAAACAATCTTTTATGCATAAAGTGCTATTTATTTATGCAAATTACTTAGAATTCAAGATTACAAATAGATTATGCATAAGTATAACTTATTAAAACTTCATGTTTGAATTTGTGTAACCAACTATAGATAAACATAATTAAATACGCGATAAACATCTTATTTTAAATATAAAAAATCTAAAATATAATTAGGATAAGAATGAAATTCTAATTGAATACTTAATTATTATTTTATAAAAAGTTATATTCTTAACCAAGAATAAAAAACTTCGTTACTAAACATAAATTAATTAATTAATATGGCATCAATATCAATATATTTTTTTAAATTTATATTATATTCAAAAAATACAAACATTATCGTTTTATCAAAACCATATAAATTCATATTATAACATAGATAGAAACATAGAATAAAACAAAACATTAAAATCGAGATGTGTCTCGATACATTGCACGAATACCCTTCTAATGTTTATAAAACATGACAAACGATGTCTATTTATAAAACAGTAAAAATATAATTAAGAGATACAAATATACACGATAAATTGTTAGATTTAATGTATAATTTGATTAAAAAAGAATTCAATTAATGATATTATATAAGCAATAAAAAAATTATGAAGTAAAATTAAAGTGATTGTTTTCACGTAATAATATTAATACATAAAACAAGTAAATAAGAATAATAAATAAATATTATATTAACATTTATTAAAAAGGTAAAATAATGGTGGAACACTAATAATAAGACACGTGGAGGAAACGGCAGCGAGTGGTTGTCCACCACACCACTAACATCGCCGTCCCGTTGAATCCATTGTCCAAATCCACGTGCTCACGCTTTCCGTTGATACCGCTAATGATCTCTCGTTTCAACACACAAATTCTCACATATTTCTTTTTATATCAATTTATATTTTTTATAATCATTTATATTTAATTTTAATTAGAAGTGTTTATTAAAACCGTTAGTATTATATATGTAATGTGATGGAATGTAAAATTTTATTAATAATAAATTTTAAAAATATTTTTTATTAGTTAATTTTGTTAAAATTTTAATTACGCAATTGTAATAATAAAATATAAACTTGAATTTTTTAAAATTTACATATTAATAAATAGTTGATAAATTGATTTTGATGATATTTATTACATACTTTATGAGAGAGATAGCCAAATGAGTCTGGCGGAGAACTGGGGTCAACTTGGGACCGGTTATAGATTTTGTCAAAAAGGATGGCCCGAGGCTGGTTTGGGACCGATTATGGGCTCGACTTGATTTTTCAGAAATATTATCGTTTTATTACCGATACTCAATAGCCATATATGACGGTTTTTTCCAGTTTTGATCATTTTTTTTTCTCATTTACACTCCATTCACTAAAGTTATATGGTGTATAGGGAAGATATCAACTCACAAACGTTCACAATTCTTGTTGTAATTCATGATTTTGACTCGTATTCTCATAAAAAACGTATTTTTTAAGTACATTTAGTTGAACCAATTACATATTTTCAATTGTATTAGAATAACAAATTTGTATTTTTTTAAAAAAATCCAAAAAAAATTGAATTAGAAAAACACATAAGACCGATTTGAACCGGTCTTATGAAGTACCTTAACCGGACCTTGGGTTTTCGGTTGGGATCGAGACCGTTTACAAGAATAGTGTTTAGGACCTGGACCAATTTGGACCCGACCCAACCTAAGACCAATTTTGACTATTTCTACTTTATAATGTTCATGTTGTATTGATGAGAGTGGGGTTGGGCCGGTGGGGAATTGGATTTGGTTGGTTAGCCACTTAGCGCACCATTTATATCCACGGCCCATGGATAAACATTATACCCTGCTAAAAATGAAAGGATCTGGTGGGTTTTTGTTCTTCGATGTATGCTTAGAACTCGCCGTTTAAAGCTCGTTATTGTGCCAACACGCGCTTGTTTAGAATCATATTAGAGATGCCAAATTTCGTCTTGTTTTTCCACTAAAGCCTTCCTTGCTTCTTACTTCACAGTGTGATACTTTTCAACAATCGGTTGTATTATGAGCTTAATATTTACGAGTGTTGTTCAGTGAAATGACTCAAGTTAGCTCAAGCTTAAAGCTAAGAGCCCTATATTATGATACCCCCTCTATCTGAATTCTAAGGCCCTCAGTATGGGTTCAAAGATCAGTTAACTTTTACATAAGTAGATTGTATCATGAGTACCAAAAACGACTTATAAATCAATCAAAACTGAGAGCAGCAAACAAGAAGTTGACACATGACACTAATGTTAGAATGACTAACGGAGCCCAAAATGTATGCTAAAACATGGAAGAAAAACAAACACAAAGAACACTTAAAAGCATACAATAAATAGTTCCAATACACATAACATGCTTAAATCTAAATATGTAACGAAATTGAATCAAACTACTAAAACAAATCTAAAACCAAAAAAAGCTACAAAACATAAAATCGTGTTCCATATTTCATCAAACTTTGGAGTCTTGACTAACTTTTTAGTTTTTAAATATAACTTTTCTGTAATTCAAAACCGTAAATTGAACTGCATGGTACAGCTTAGCGAAAATGCGTACCATCATCGTACCATAAAAATTTAAAGCAAATGGTACTGTTTGACTCATGTGTTACAACAATTGATGCTATAGAAAGATCAAGACAATAACATTATAATAACTTGATATCGTAGCCATTAAGCTTCGATCCTGTCTTTCCGACTTTTGTATGTATCCATGTGTGAACAAGTTCTTATCTTGAACAACGTTTTCTTATCAATTTTTTTATATGGGTTTATACTTATATCTGATTTACTGTTATTTTTCAAGTTTTTAAACTTGACTAAAGAATTTCTACCTCTGGTTATAGTGTGTGCTTCCGGAGATTTCATCGAGGTGGCGTTTGGTTTTCAATATGTTTTTTGAAGAAATAAATTATGTTAAAAAAAATTGACTTTGAAGGAATTGGAATAGAATGTTATCATGTTTGACCAATTGTTTGGTTGACAGATATTGGAATGAAATATGTTAAGGAATTATAAAATATCTGTTTGGTTCACCGAATATAGCTTTGGAATTAGAATGAAATACTGGTAAATGACCAAAACACCATTTGTTAAAAAATTTATTTTTTTATTAAACTAAAAATATTTTAATAAAATAATTGTTTTAATGTTTAAAACCGTATAAAATACATAACCCAAATATAACCATAACCAAACGACATTACTTAATCGATATTAAAATTGTCTCAAAATAGCTAAGACTTTATAATGTGAAATAGTTAATTCAGTGGTGGTCGGTGGTAGTTTGGAATGGTGGTGGTCTACGATAGTTAAGATGGCTGTGGTCAGTGGTGTTCAGATTGATGGTGGTCGGAGATGGTCAACGGTGGTTCAGATAACGATGGTCGGTAGGCGTTCAGATTGATGGTGATATGTGGTGGTTTAGATGGTAGTGGTTCAGATCGACGGTGGTTCAGATCAGTGGTCGTCGGCGGTGGTTCAGATCGGTGATGATCCGCGGTGGTTTAGATGACAATATTCGACAGTGGTTCAAATCAGTGATGGTCCACAACGGTTTAAATGGCGGTGATTGACGGTGGTTCAGATTGCGATGGTGGTCAGAGGTGGTCGACATTGGTTATATTGAGTTTTATGAGATTATGGTATATTGAGTTAAGGGTATGCTTGACATTATTGAAATAGAGAATTTCATTCCATCAAAATATCATGTAATTGTTAAGAAATGTTAAATTTATTTATTTACAGAATTTATAAGATTTTAAAGATTCATTTCATAAAAAAATGAACCAAATAAAAAAAATAAAATTTGGTCAATAAAATTCAACATTCCAATTTTATCGTATTTCTTCAAAATCTACTAACCAAACTCACGTGAATGTTATAGAGTGAGATTGAATATACTAATCTTGATGCTCTCTCTCTCGTGTTTGCCCAATTGGGAATTTGAGTTTGATTTTTCATCCATTTTTCCTTTTGAAAAGAAAAAGCTAAAAAATGGTGTTTTGTTTTGTTGCTTTTTTCATTCCTTTGAGGTGTAACACTGTAACCCCATAACTGAAAGTTGATACGAAATTTATATATATATTTTGATTTATATTTTAATAATTTGTTTAAAAAAAATTATTCTGGATAAAGTATTATGTTTTTAATAGGATAAAGGAATATTTGATGCAAGTAGGAAAAATAATGGTGAAAAGTTGATTACCGACAACTCTAACGGGTCATACGTAAAACCTGCTTCGAAGGACACAAATATGATGGGATATATATATTTTTTTTTGCTTAATTCATCGGTTGTGGTTAGCAGAGGGTTCGGGATTGAACCTGTGATCTGTCTTGTATTTAAACAAAGTCGTCTCGCCTCCTTATTGACTGAGCAACACATGAGACGTACCACTGATAAACTAATTAAGGTTGATTTGATTAAATCAAAACTACAATTTGATAATGACTATAAACCAAGGGATGAAGTTATTGATTCCCTTTTGTCCTTGGTGACTAAGTAAAAGCACTATTCATCCCTTCAATCTTTTAAACCTTTTTGCTTTGAATCTTATTCTCTCTCTAATGGAATGCACACATTTGAATCTGAATGCTCCCATCCATATATGCCTATAAATGTATAAATCTACTTAATTGTATATATAGACCTGAGATCATGTGAGACCAAATGTTTTTGTGAGACCTGTAAGACCAATTCTCAATAATCACAAAATTGCTACCGTGTAACTTTAGACAATTAGATCATTAGCTTATAAAGTTGATTAATGAACATAAATTGGTCTTAGGGGTCTCACGAAAAACCCTTGGTCTTACGTGAACCCAACCCTATATATATAAAAGAATTAGAATCAATAACATTTTGTTAAAGCTGTATATCAAAGAAATAAGAAAGGCCTAAACGAGCTTTGCATATCAGTAAAATTGTATATCAAACAAAGGAATTAATTTGTACTGGGTTCATGTAAAACTTGCAAAATGCTACTAATACCGATTGTGATAGCAAGATTAAGAGTATATAATTATTGACTGAAAATGTTTATTTTGTTCGAGTTTTCGTGTAAGATATGATATCTTATAGTTGTTCTTTTAAGTTATTTATGTCAAAACATTTTCCCTTTTCTAGTAATAACAGGATTTCACACAAACACGTAATGATATTTCATTAAAAACACAAAACACGACATCACAATCAAGCAATTACTCGTTTAAAAACATAACAAACATCAAATTTTCTACATTTTTCATATATGATTATTAAGGGTTGTTTATTAACACAACCATATTGAGTTGTTTACTTGTGGCTTAATGAAAAAATCACAAACTTAATCACACAACCAAGAAAGGTCTTTTGTCCCCGTTAAGGCAAAAAAATTAAACCCAGTCTCCAAAATCATCCTCGTTCATTATTTTCTCATTGACATTACTGCCCCTTCACTTGATCCCAACCTTGATTTTGGGGTTTCATGTTGAGGGATAAGCTCGGTCATTCAGGCTATTGATTCAAGAAAAAAAAGTAAATAATAAGAGAAAGAAATTTATCGATACAAGATTTATTAGAAAATTTGATAAACAGCCTCTTAATAATATACAAGAGGAAACCAATCCTTTAGAGTGCAAAAGAAATGATGGCTTAATAGAAAATTTGGTCTATGGAGATCACATTGTTTTGTTAATACAACAAGGAATGAATGCAAGATTGTAAGGTTTATAAGATATGGTCATAATTATGAACCTTAAAAGGAGGAATCTTTCACATTTATTATGCAGGTAGGTGATGGGATTAGTACAAGTCATTAAAGCAAGAGGGATATGAATGGCTTGCTTGTGCATGACTGTACAAAGTTCAGAGATGAGTAAAGTTGACAGTGGGGAAGATAGAGAAGGAGAGAGAAGATGCTTTTCGACTTTTTCTTTACGCTAAAGAAGAAAAAGTAGAACAATCTCTAAACCCTAAACACATTTAATTCGAAAAATAACCAAAAGATTCCCCGTAAAGATGGTATTTTCATTTTTTTTTGCTTCTTCACTCTCATTTTCCCTTCTTTCTTGATTCTGTTTCACACCCCCTTTTCCTTTTTCTGTTTGATTAATCTTCATGTTTTCTTCAAGATTTCTTTCACCCTTCTCTCCCTCATTTGTGTAGAACCAAAATTCCAAGAAAAGTTTGCATTTTCTGCACAGACATTTGACTTCTGATAGTACATTTGGTTATGCTTTTTACATCAAGAACTGCAGATTTCTGGGGTTTAATGACAATTTTCCAACATTTTGTGTCATATTGTTGAAATCAAGGGATTTGGGATTTGGGTTTTTGGTGATTTGGGGTTTTTGTTGGAGTTACAAAAAGGGTTTTAGAGCAGAAAAACAGAGGCCATGGCAGGAGGAGGAGGAGGACAAGCAGCACCACCTAAACAAGATGAGTTGATGCCACACCCTGCTAAAGATCAACTTCCCAATGTTTCTTATTGCATAACCAGTCCACCACCTTGGCGTAAGTTTTGTTTTTTCTTCAAACACATTGCACATATTTATGTGTTTTTTACTGTGTGTGAATAAACTTTTCTCATTGTTACCATGGATTTCTTGCATGTTTTTGTGTTATTCCATGTGGGTTTGGTTTAGATCAGTAAAAAGTAAAAAAACCCTCTTATGTCTAAATATTTGTAGCACTTTGCAAGAATGATCTATTTTATAACATGAAAATGCTACCAAGATGGTTCTATTTGCATTTACGCTTTCATAGCTTCAAAAACTATCGTTAGTTTTTGGAAAGTTGGTGGTTTCTATGGTATTTATGTGAGAACAACAGTGAATTCCTACAGCAAAGCCAAGCATTGTGGCTTACAAAGTCAAATAACTCCAATTTTTTTGTTCTTTTTATGTGTTTGTTGCTTTTTTCTATGTTTGTGTGTGTTTCACTTGCTAATTTGTGTGAAAAGAACACTGCAAAGTATCTACGACTTATCAAAATATAGTTTTTCTGTTGTTATTTTGAGTTCTCCAGCTGGGTTCTCTTGGTTCTGAACTTATGATCAGCCACAAAACCTCTGGAGGTAGAGTTAGAGGCTGTTCGATAAATGTTTCCCGTATGGATGAATATGTCTGTATAGATTTAGCTAAATTGTTGTCCTGTATGAAAATGACTATTTTACCCTTTAGGTAGAGTTAGGGATTGTGCGGCTGGTTTTTGATAAGTCCTGTACGGATAAAGTTTTCTGTATAGATGAAGAAGTTGTTTGTATAGATTTAGCTAAATTGTTGTCCTGTATGAAAATGACTATTTTACCCTTTGGTTTTCATTAAACATTTGTAGATCATATTTTAGAAAACGGCAATATTTAACAATATGGGACATTTGTATCTTGAGTTGAATTCTTGATCTTGATCCTTTTCTTAGTGTAAATTGACAAAAATCCCTTTCTTGTTGTAAATCTATAAAATTTTACCAAAAACCCTCGATCTTTATCCTTTTCTTAGTGTAAATTGACATTTTCTTGATTTTGTATATGAACCCTAAAAAGCTTCCTTTTGATGCAGCTGAAGCAATACTTTTAGGTTTCCAGCATTATCTTGTGATGCTTGGAACAACAGTTCTCATTCCTACTACTCTGGTTCCTCAAATGGGTGGAGGGCATGTAAGTCTTTTCACAAGATCTTTGATAACCGATATCAAGAAAATGGAACACCAGAATACCAAGTCCTACATGAACTCATAGACGATAGTCTTGCGCGTTTACAACTTTACCCATGTTTGTGAAAGAACACATGAATGTATAATCATAAAACGCACATGACTAACGTCTATGATTACATATGTACATACACACATGCATATATATATATATATATAATATATATATATATATAGAGAGAGAGAGAGAGAGAGGGAGGGAGGGATGGAGGTACAGGGAAAATCCCCCAAAAAATGAAAAACTGAGGAACACCCTCATAACCATTCATTTGTACGATATGCACATGAGCATACAAGCAATTGAAGATGTTTCATGGTTTATATGCACATGTGCATATTGGAAAAATTATTTGCAAATTACTTGTATGCATATATGCATACCGTGTAGATGACTGGTTTCTAAGGCGTTCATAAGTTTTTCATTTTTTTGCGGTTTTCCCTGAACCTGACTCTATATATATCTCTATAATGTTTTATTACAGTTGATTTTTGGTCATTCGGTTTGATCGGACACATGGGTTTGTTTGTTTATCTTAGGAAGAAAAGGCAAAGATGATTCAGACACTACTCTTTGTTGCTGGTCTCAATACGTTAACACAAACACTTTTTGGAACACGCTTACCGGCTGTCATTGGAGGCTCTTTTACTTTTGTACCTACTACAATTTCAATCGTGTTGGCTGGTCGATACAGGGACATTTTGGATCCTCAAGAGGTGGTTATAAGATCAACCCTTTGTAATTCTCTCAATATATTTCTATGACATTTATAAGTAAATTTTGTTGTCTCAAGAGGTGGACATTTTATGATGTTTATAAGTAAATTTTTATTCAAAATTTAAGCAAATCTAATCCTTACTTGTTGATGATTATATAGAAATTTGAGAGGATTATGAGAGGGACTCAGGGTGCTCTTATCGTTGCTTCAACACTTCAGATTGTTCTCGGGTTTAGTGGACTTTGGCGCAATATCACGAGGTTAGTTTGGATCCATGCTATACATAGTGCCCTACCATACTCGAAACTTGGGGGCTGTTTGGTTGGTTTTCCATTAAATCTTGAATGGATTAATCTGTCTATATAGATTGGAAAGATTTTTGTTTGGGAGGGTTTTTCATAGATGGAAGGAGCGTGTTTGTAACTGGAAGGGGCAACCTTGGTAAAAACTTGGCTATCTGAAATAAGCCACTTTCTATATCATTAAGCCACTACCAAGTCATATATAGCTGACCGAATAAGCTGTGAGCCTCATTAAGCTTATTAAGCTGCTAACAAACAAGCCCTGAGACTATGATTGGCAAACTAGTTGTTGGCTGATAAACTGGTCATGTTTGGTAAAAAAAGACTGGCTGAAAAGCTAGATGATCGATTGGAAGGATATTAGGGGCATAATTGGAAAGAAATGGGAAAAAATCCCGTGGAGCTAATTAAAATGCTACTTCAAGTAGTGTTTTAAAAAGCTAGTTTTTGACTTACCAAATGGGGCTTTTTCTAATAAGCTCAAGAAATAAGCGAGCTTATGGTTGCCAAACATGGTCTTAGTGCACAGTGTGATGACAATAAGTCTTCTGATCAAACGATAAATCTTTCTCTGTGTGGGATTGTCTATCTTTTCTTTGTCATCATCAACGCATTATGATTTTCTCAATTTCAGGTTCATGAGCCCATTATCAGCCGTTCCACTGGTTACGTTAGCCGGATTTGGGCTATACGAATTTGGTTTTCCGTTGGTACTCATCTATATCTATCTTAACTTCTTAACTTAAACGTATAAAAACAAAATGTGTGTATAAAGAATTACGAGTATAAATATAGTTGCATAATTTTATGTAGGTTGCCAAATGTGTCGAGATTGGACTTCCACAGCTTGTTGTTCTGCTAATTTTCTCACAGGTAACGTTCCTTAACACAAGCACATGAAAGTGTTTTCCAAGAAAGATGGTCATTTGTTGCAGTAGATATCGATGTTAAACTACAATGATGCATTTTGGCAGTACATACCCCATCTTATGAGTGGAAAAAGCCATATCTTTGACCGGTTTGCCGTTTTGTTTTCGGTGGTAATCGTGTGGATATATGCTCACTTACTCACTGTTGGTGGGGCATACAAGAACAAATCTGATGCAACTCAACTAAGTTGTAGAACTGATCGTGCTGGAATCATAGGCGCTGCACCCTGGTATACGATTAATTTTTTGTAATATATATATATATATATATATATAGAGAGAGAGAGAGAGAGAGAGAGAGAGAGAGAGACTGAGAGAGGGAGGTTCAGGGAAACCCCCAAAAAATGAAAAAATTGAGAAACACCCTGGTAACCATTCATCTGTACGATATGCACATGTGCATACAAGTAATTGAAGTTGTTTCTTGGTTTGTTTTCACGTGCACATGTCATGCACATGTGCATACCAGACAAATTGCTTACACAAATTACTTGTATGCACATGTGGATGTTGTCCAGATGAACGGTTACTAGGGTGTTCCTCATTTTTCATTTTTTTTTTGTGGTTTTCCCCTGGACATGACCCTATACACACACACGCACATCAAATACACACTCCTCGCCTTTGGTGAGTTTGAATTCTTGACCACCTAGGAGGCTGGGGTCTATTGGTAATCCGGATCCTGGTGGGTCATTGACCCTTTGGTTTATGATCGATTGTTGTTTATATATTCGTTAGATTTTACAAGTTGTTCAAGAAAGGGTTGTTTTTACAGGATTCGAGTTCCTTATCCATTTCAATGGGGAGCGCCCACATTTGATGCCGGAGAAGCTTTCGCTATGATGGTTGCTTCATTTGTGTCTCTGGTCGAGGTTGCTTCATTTTTTCTTTTACGAGCTAAATTTCATCCGCTTTCTAGTTTTCTTAACGCGTTTTTTTTTTGTTCTGTTGACAGTCTACTGGCGCTTTGATTGCGGTTGCTAGGTATGCGAGTGCGACTCCTATGCCACCGTCGGTTCTTAGCCGTGGCATTGGCTGGCAGGTATTGGCATACTCATTTCATCGTCACCCCTACCAAGCTTACAACAAAATCGGCTTTATAGAACACAAAATACGTCTAAAAAGTTCTTATAGACTGCTTTATAGGACCAAACAATTGTTTATCCTGTATAAAGGTGTTATAATAAGATGTTATGCCGTAATTGCGCATCATAACATGTTTTTTAGAACAATTTTGAAATAAAGTGTCTTATTAGCTTTTGTTTTAGGACATATTAGAGGATGTTTTGTTTTTGTAAGACATTTTCGTATAATGTCATATAAAAGACTAATAAAACACTTTATTTCAAAAGTGACTTAACAAAATTGTTTGAATGTCCCAAAGCGTCCTATCAGCTTATTGTAACATCTTTACATAAGAAGCACAATTATTTGGTTCTACATAACAGTCTATTGGGACATTTTAGGCTTGTTTGTTAGCAACTTAATGAGCTTAATGGGACTTGCAACTTATTCGCTGAGCTATAACATGATTGTTGGTAGTGGTTTAATGATATAGAAAGTGGCTTATTCAGTAAGTTTCTAGGGGGAGCTTTATGCAGAAAGCCAAGTTTTTTCCGAACCTATCCCTCCCCATTAAAAAACACGAGCTTTCCATCTAGGAAAAAACCTCCACACCAAAGACCTTTCCGATCCACACAGACAACTTTATTCATATAGAACTTAATAGAAACAAACCCAACAACCCCTTAGACATATTTGACGTCCTATAAAACATATTTGGTTGTAGAGCCATCCCACCCCGTGACCCCGGATTCCAATTGATTCGTGTTTTCTTGATTCTGCAAGGGAGTTGGCATTCTGTTTTCCGGAATCTTTGGGACAGGAAATGGTTCTTCCGTATCTGTGTAAGCTCTATATTTAATTCGACTCATAAAGTTATCAAGATTTCTTTCCAAGATTCTTATGTCGATCAATGGCAGTGAGAATGCTGGTTTGCTCGGTTTAACACGCGTTGGTAGCAGAAGGGTCGTTCAGATTTCTGCCGGTTTCATGATATTCTTTTCCATTCTTGGTAATCTTTCGTTCACAAATATCTTCTCCTGTATCATTCAGCTTTCTTTTTCTTGATTTCTTGAATCCCGGACTTGATTTGCAGGAAAATTTGGGGCGGTATTTGCATCGATCCCAGCACCCATTGTAGCCGGATTATATTGTTTGTTCTTCGCCTACGTGGGTATGCATTTTAACCAAATTTTCTAGTTGCATTCAGGTTTTAATTCCGCATATCTGTTCATTTCTGATGATTTTCTTCAAATCTTTGCATGAAAACAGGCTCAGCAGGCCTCGGGTTCCTCCAGTTTTGCAATTTAAACAGCTTCAGGGTAAAATTCATTCTTGGATTCTCGATCTTTATGGGCTTATCGATACCGCAATACTTCAACGAGTACACCGCCATCAAAACTTACGGCCCCGTCCACACGAAAGCCAGATGGGTAAGAATTCGGCTCGCAATCCGTCCTTTTTTCCGGAAAGAGAAAGGGTTGACTTTTGAGATCAAACATCAAATGAACTAATTAACTTGGTAAATGACATGAACCATAACCAAATCTGGCAATTTTGCATCTGAAAAGTAGTTAGATTTGACCTCAAAAGTCAAACTTCCCCAAAAAAGAAAGATGCTAGGATCTGACATGTTTGGTTTGTTCCATCAAATGAGGGTGTTTTTTTTAATTTGGGAGGGACATGTTTGGAAAAAACTTGGTTTTCTGCATGCTGCTCATTCTTATAAGTTTACTGAATAAACCACGTCTTATATTATTTAGCCACTACCAAATTAGTCATGTATGGCTGAATGAATAAGTTGTGTCCGTTGAACTCGTTAAGCTGCTAATAAATAGGCCCTAACCCCTATGGCTAGGCCATTGACCCTTTTGGTAATCTAATCTTGTGCTTCATGCATTTTATTTCGTTTTTCAGTGGAATGATATGGTAAATGTACCATTCTCTTCGGAAGCGTTTGTTGGCGGATTATTGGCGATGTTTCTAGACGTAACATTGAGGCAAAAGGACGCTGCGACAAGGAAGGACCGAGGGATGCATTGGTGGGACAAGTACCGATTGTTCAAGACGGATACGAGAAGCGAAGAATTCTACTCCCTACCCTTTAATCTCAACAAGTTTTTCCCTTCCGTTTGATCGAAAAACAGGATCTTTTGTTACCATTGCATAGCACGTTGTTACGAACATTCGATCTTTATGCATTCGATTTTGAATCTTGATCAACTTTTGCAAGCTTGTTTCTTGAGTCAAAATGAAGCATAATGCATCTTTTGATCCTCCTTCACTCGTCGATTTTGTATACGTAAAGATATTGGCGACTATAAGCTAGCTTATTGGAAAAACCCGTGTTTATTTTGGTGCCACAAGCCACTTTTAAGCATCTATAACAATTTTTTTTTTAAATTTCTCAAAAATGGAGAATTAAGAATCAAAATTTTCAAAAAAGAATTATATTGAACTTCAACGTTTTTAATTTTTAATTTTTAATTTTTAATTTTTAATTTTAGAGGTTATATTATTAAAATATTCAGTATATTTAATAAATGCTATTTTTTCTCATAAAAATTTAGTTTCAATGACTCTTGTTGGTTTGAATAATAAATAATTACTTTAATTCCAAAATAAATGTCTGCGATGAAAATGATGTTTTTAAGAATGTGTGATTATACATTTTTTAAATAACTAAATGACCGTTTACTAAACAATTATCCGATAAGCGTTTACTGATAAAATTCAACATTATCATATACTTACCAGGTAAGATCTTAATCCACCAAAACAACATCGCATAACAATTTACTTGGTAAACACTAATCATGATAAGAGTCTTCGCTGTAACTTACTTGCCTCGTTTTTACTTGGTAAGATTCGTGGTTCTTATCGTATTCATCCGATAGAGTAATGTGATTTGGTAAACGCTTACTTGGACAAACATTTGGTAAACAACCCTTAAATTACACTTTTACCTTTGAAAAATGAGAGAAACTTTCTCCATCTCATAATTAATGATAAAATGGGAAACTAAAATTTAGTTTTAAAAGTGGAAATTATTTTGGGATAAACTAAAACAAAAACCGAGAGAAACTTGCTTAATTTGGGATGGAGTGTATTTCTCTTATCACTAATAATCTTTTTCAGAGAGTTCCAATAACTTTTTTTGATTAACCTAAATATCCAACTCGCTATGTGAGCCGACTAATCCCAGGATGACCACCCGCTTCACCGATAGCCGGAGTCACCACATTTGAACCTCCGTGGCTACAAGTGAATCTTTTTTTTGAATTTGAACCTAAGATCTCAAGGCACGTTTGACCTTTAAAGCTCAAACTCAAACTAATCGGGGACCACCTTTATGATTAAATTTAGAGATATTTGTCATCTCTCTACTACATTTTCTATTTTAGAAAATCTATTGCATTCCAAAATCAGCCGAAAAATCCCAAAATCCTTGTTTTCTTATAAAGCTAGATTTTTTTAAAAAACGTTTAAAATGTTTTTTTTAATTATTATTTCATAATTATGTTCTTAAATTTTTTCGATTAATTTATTAACATGACATTTTATATTTTTATTCAGCTTATCAGTTAGTTTTTAACTTTTTATAATAAAAATTAATTAATTTATCAAATATAATTATTGATTTCAGATCTTATACTTTGAATATTATTTAGAAAATTATCATAAATACGTAAAATTTTATATGTTTTTTATGTTTATTTTTTAAAGAATAATTTCAATAAAATGATGTGATATTTGGAGGGTGGCATTCAAGATGGCCCTCGTTTTTGTCCCTATCGATTTATTCATGTATGACTCTACCAAACCAATAATTGAATTTTGAAATAAAAAGAAAAATAAGAAAAAAGTAAATTACACTGGTGATCCCTGTGGTTTGCTCAAATTTCGGATTTGCTACTTAAAATAAACTATCTGCATTGATGGTCCTCAGTTTTTCATTTTTATAACATCCATAGTCCCTCCACTTGACATTGTTAATTAACAACCATTATGAATGACTCGTTGGTCTTTAAACAAACTTTAAGGACCAAAATTGCAATCTACTCTAATATATAAATGTAAATTCACGTTTTTTTTAATTTTTATTAAAAAATATTTTTTATATTCATTCATTAATCAAGTATCTTAAATTAAGATACATATTAAATAAAAAAAATTGTATTTATTTAAAAAATATTAGCGTTAAAAAAAATCTTAAGTTTAGAAAAACAAAAGAAATCGAAATAAATTTACATATCTTTTGAGTTAAGAATTAAAATAGGCGAGTAAAATACTGAAATTTAAGTTCAGTTAAACACTAATTATTCAAATAATTAAGAGAAACTATCATCACAACAAAATTAGTTATATGATGACAAAAAAAATTAAGCTTTGTAATAGACCACTTTATAAGACTTAATTTATAAGAGCAAAAATAAAACATACTCTCTAAGTACATTGCAATAAGTTTATAAGACGATTTTGGACGTTTTAACAAGTTTTTAGAATACTTATAATAGAAAAACTTCGCATTAACAATTTTATATGACACTATTTAAAAAAAGGTCATATAAAAATACGGGTTTTTAGAATGCTTAATTTTTTTGGCATCATATACACCTAATTTTGTGAATTTTATAGTTTTTAAAATCAATATAATTTTTTTTTTTACTTAATATGTACTCTATTTAAGATATTTGATTTATGAATTGGTATATAAAATATTTTTTAATCAAAAAAAAAAAAACGTGAATTACATTATACATTAGAGCAAATTGCAGTTTTGGTCTCTAAAGTTTGTTTAAAAACCAATCAGTCTTTTATAACTGTTGTTAACTAACATTGTTAAGTGAAGGGACCATAAATATTATAAAAATAAAAAGTTAGGGACTATAAGTGTAAATAGTTTATTTTAGGAAGTACATCCAAAATTGGAGTAAACCACAAGGACCACTATTATAATTCACTTTAAAAAAGATCTTGAATTAAAATTATATATTTATTGGTTCTTTTTGAATTTCAAGATTATTTTAATTTGAAATAAAAATTATTTGATCGATGTGTATTTTGGTGGTTTTGTATTTTATTATTCATGATAAGTAATACGAAATTGATACTTCATTTTTAAATTAATTAAATAGATTTGTTTGACACTCAAAAATTATTATACTTAAAAAATTAAAATATATATAAATTATTAATTGGTATTAAAAATCATTATAAAATCTTATCATGATATTATTCCTCAAGATGACACTTTTTTTTAATAATTTTCCACACCAAAAAAACGCTTCTATTGGTTTTTTATTTGATAAATTACATCAATTTTAAAATAATTATGATTTTTTAAAATATTTTTTTTTTCAAATATCGTATGTTTTTATTTATTTACAAAATTAATTTTTCATGAGAGGAAGAAATATTAGTCCACATAAATAGTAATTTGACCAATTGACTTCAATTATTTCCATATATATGAAAGGAGCCGTTTATCAAACACTTATCCGGTAAACATTTATCAGTAACATTTAACACTATCATTTACTTACCGCTTATGATTTTAGTCCACCAAAATGACATTGAATGCAACAATTTACTTGGTAAACATTTACCAGTAAAATTTAACACTATCATTTACGTACCGCTTATGATTTTAGTCAGCCAAAATGACATTGTATGCAACAATTTACTTGGTAAGCACTTATTGTGGTAAGAGTCGTCGCCCTCATTTACCGGGTAAGACTCTTGTTCTTTGTCTCGTTCTTACCGGGTAAAATTCTTGGCTCTTATCATATTCATCCGGTAAGATAATGTGACTTGGTAAACACTTACCAGAGTAAACGGCCCCAAAGTATTTTGTTATTTATATTAGAGCCCATATATATATATATATATATATATATATATATAGGGGCCCATTCAAGGGAGAAATGATTAGTTTGTGGTAACTATGAGAACTAATCTCAACTACAAATTAATGAATAAATTATGAAATTAATAATTATGGTAGTTTGAGTTAAAATTATAATTAGAGGGCATTTTAGGTATTTTTAAAAAACTCCTCTCTCCTCTCTCATCTCTCCGACCTCCAATCTCCGGCCTCCGGTGAACAAAACTCCGGCAGGTACCAAGTAATCACAAAGATACACAATGTGATACCCATTGTGATATACTGTGATATCATTGAGGTACCACGGTGTACCACATAAAAGGAGTGGCACATCTTCGGAGTTACATCTCCGACGAGATTTGGTTTACATCTCTGGCGACACTTGTGCTAATCTACCATCATCATCATGGCGACTGATGATCGGAGATCTTTTGTGGATTTGTCGGCGTTCGAAAAAGATGCGAAGGCGCTTGAGTTCATCGACAAGATGACGAGTAGCGCTGAGGACGTTCAGGCGAATGTTTTGGCGGCGATACTAAGCCGGAACGATAAAACTGAGTATCTCAAGCTTTACAATCTCGACGTTGCCACCGATCGAGAAACTTTCAAGTCGAAGATTCCAATGGTCACTTACAAGGATCTTCAACCTCTTATTCAACGCATCATCAATGATGATCGTTCTCCCATTTATATAAAAACTCTGGTACCTGGTTTGATTGATTTTCCATGTGATGATGAATGATGGTGTGGTGGTTGTTGTGCGTGAGAAGGGGGAAAGAAAGGAAGAGAAGCATGCCTATGCTGGAGGACGGCTGTTTCATAATGAAGGAGAAGAGTAGGGTTTTAAAATTATAAACATTACCCATTTACCCTTTATGTTATTTTAGGATATAATATTAATTATTTAAATGAGTGACTCATATTGGTTCTCACAGTTACCACAAACTAATCAGTTCTCATTTGATTAGGCCCATATATATATATATATATATATATATATATATATATAATGTTTAGTTAGAAATATTTATGGCTTCATTCTTTGAATTTAATTTGGTATAATAAGGGGGAAGAATGTGGAGAAAGCAACTATTTTTTCTAATTAATTTTAATATGTTCGAGTTTATCGTTATTTATAAAAGAAATAAATCATATATATATTTTTTATAAAAAATAGAAAAAAATTAATATAACCCATTATAAATTATGATAACATTAAGTACTTGAAAACAAGTGTATGATAACATCGTTGTTATAAATGACATTCGATGTGATCTTTTAGAAGTCATTGTTAAATTACGACGTCTTTTTATGCGTGGCTTAATGATAATAAA